GACCCCGGCCACCCATATAAACCATACGTCTCCGATCCCGGAGTCCCTGGCAGGAAGTGGTTAACTTTCAAAGCAAAATTCAACACGGGAGAAAAACATGAAAAGAATACCAATTCAAAATATTTCATCACCAGTGTTATTCCATGTCCCCCCCCCTTGGGTTTGACTATGTTCAGAAGTATTAGTTATATTCCAAAAAGGGGGAGAAAATGAAAAAGTCACTGTAAGCTGAACTCCCACATGACCCATCTGGTAAAACCTTATATTCATTGGAAACAGCAGGAGAATAAAATTTCCACTTACACTGTACTTACTGTGACAGTGGCAAACAGTGGATGGAGCAGTTGCTTCCTTAGCCACAAAATGGTTTTCACCGACTCCAGTTTTACTTGAATGGGAACTATTGTGTGCTGAATTAAGCACTGAAATGCAGTTAAGATTTAATACATTTCTGCTAAGTGACAATTTTTGTGCTGAATAATAAGCAGCTTGTCCTGCATAATTTACCCTAAAAACGTGTTTAGAGATTGGTGCAAGAGACTTGGCACTTGGTTTGTTCATCTTTTGCAGTGTTGGAGGTCTAATTCAAGACATGGCATGGGATCCTACTGGTGAGAGACTAGCTGTGTTATTCAAACCACACGACAAAGACACTGACAACCTGATTGTACTCTTCAGCACTAGACTGGAACCCGTGCTGGAACTCATTCCAAGGTACATTTAAGCTTCACCACCTTCACTCTTTTAACTTTTTGATTAATTTTATTTGAAGAGAAAAAGCAATCCTTGTTTAACCAAAACAAAATAGGTCAATGAAAATAATCTTGACAGTTGTAAGTGAATTGTCAAGTAGCTAGCCCCGGTAAATTTTTAAAATTTACTTGTTCCCACCAGTCTAAACCTGGAGTAATTGAATAATAAGAGAAAGCCCTGTGATATGGCACTTGCATGCTATGCATAATGAAGTTTTCCTTATATCACTGTGACCTTTTTTGTTGATACTGTGTTTAGTGGCTTTGTGCGTGGTGAGCCAGGACAGATACCCGAGTTGATAGCCTTTAAGCCTAACTTCAGACAAGGAGCCCTCCTCACAGTGGTATGGCCATTCAGCATGATGCTCAAATGCATTTCCCGAATATAAATGTACATGCGTTAACATTATCGCCAAAGTGCATTTACTTGTACTTTACTACACAATTCATCACAAAAATCTTAAACTAACAATTCTATACAAGTATGCTGTGCTTACATGAGACATAATCATGCAGTAAATGTTTTGTAAAAATAAGAATTGAAGCAATAAGTGTACAAAGCTGTTTAAATTTATCATAACGCCAATAAGCTTGGCAATTTAGTTTATTTCATGTGCCTTAAGGTATCTTAATTTGTGTGTATGTTCATGTTTCCAACAGTGTTGGCAGAGTGGAGAGGTGTCTTATATCCCATTGATGTTTATGCCAACCCAAGCCATCAAAGACACAGCTAACTCTACCTTCAAGATCCCTGGTGCCAATGCACCACTTTCAAAGGAGCTTTTTTCATTAAGTTAATCCGTGTGAGCTTCTCCTTGAAATCCACTCAAATCTAGGTTTAGGCCCCCCAAAAGTCACCAGTTTCTGGTCATCGCACACATTGCCATAGACCTGTGCATTGGCAATATAAAAAGTTTTAATTTGGTACAGACATGTACAATGTCCAGAGGCTGTCAAACTTACTTGATCGAATGGAATCCTACTATTGCGTAATTTTAACATGTTTTAGTAAACAAGGCCCCTAAACATTTACTCAGGCACTCTTTCAGATGACATCATTTCTGTATGATACATTTACATCTGCGAACCAGACAAACAAGGTGATCTTATGTCCTGTGTACATGTACATCTACGAGCTGGAAATGCTTGTGAACAGTAAATAGTGAGGGGGCTGGTCTACAATGTATTTCAGTGTTGGTAGCGGCAGTATGTACGTACAAGCACAAAAAAATAAAAGCCATGTCGCTGCAGACCTGTTGGAGCCAGCCCCTGACCAGAAACTGGAGACTTGGGGGGCTTATGTAACAATTCTAAATTCTAATTAAGAATGTTTGAAGACTTGCAAAGTACACGTACAAGAGCTGACATATTTCAGTTACAAAGTCCAAATGTAATGTATGTGTACCCCTTTTCAACAAGACACACCTTTTAGGTTTATTTTGTAATTGAGACTCCCTATTTTAAACTTGAGAGTGTGTGCATACGGCATCGCAGCAACAGTACAATCAGTTGTCAGAAAGTTGAGGTTATCCATATGGGTTGAATTTCATTTTTTACAATGAAATTCAACCCAAAAGGATACATCATTATTTCTATGCTGTTCTGAGCAGTAATTGTTTGGTTAATACATATATTTGCCAATGCTATAATTTTCAAGATGTATTTTTGCGTTGGGGAGATGTTAATTTATATAACGGGTTTTGCCCTTACCCAACGTATATATTAAATAAATGTTGTATGCTTAGTGCTTGTCCGAGAGCTTGCGAAAAAAGTCACGAGCTTAGTCAGCCGACCCCGGCAAGCTTGGTGGTCGAGTGGTTAAGACGTATGCACTAGTAAGCAGGAGGTCGTGGGTTCGAGTCCCACCCGAGCAAGCTTATGACTTTTTTCGCAAGCTCTCGGACAAGCACCGAGCATACAGTGTTTAGTTAACATATACGTTAAGGGCAAAACCCGTTATATATACACTGCTATAATGTAAACTGTATTTTGTGAATGAGTTCATAAGCTGTGTGACTATAAGTACACAGCTTTGTTACAATTTGCTATGTGCATTCTAAACTCATTTGTCAGTTGTTGAGTGTATGTGGACACTGATTCTAGATAGATGTACATGAATTAACTTTTTGATCTGCTGGACATGCCCATTAACTCTGACTTTTAGTGGTGTCAAGAATAATATGTCAAGTATTTAAAACGATGATTAGAATGGTTTACACACATTTACCCAACAAAGATACTTTAACCATAGCCTGTAGCACTGGGGACATACACTTGTCTTTTCACTTATTTTGTGGGGACCAAAATGCCACGGGGACAAAGTTTTTCCCTCACAACTTGGTCCTGGACTTCCTAAAAGATTTTGTCCCCTTAACCCAGGGAAAGCCTACCTACATGTACACAAACTTGTTTTGCAGTTGTGGGGACATTACACCAAGTGTGTGGGGACCAAAAATGTTGTGGGGACAGCAGAAAATCCCCATAACTTGGTCGTAATTTGCTTATATAATAATAAAAAAACCTCGTGAAGTGCAGTAAGGGACTACCCATACAAACTTGTTACCAGGTTATGGGGACTACATGTTTTGATACATATGGGGGGCGGCCAAAACCTTAACCCTAACCATGTTGAACCCAACAAGGTTATGCAGGATTTCAATGGTCCCGAGGGGTTAGAGTTTATGAAGTCAAGGCCCACCCACACAATCGGGCATGTATTTGTGACCCGCACTGCAAAATGAGTCTCACGTCACCAGAGCCACTTTGAGTTTTACTTTGTATTTATACAGATCGAGGAATTTGAGCTCTGTGTTTTGATGCGTCACTCAGTTTGGTATGATGAAAATGGACGTTGTGTAAATGTTCGTGTTGAGGATTAGCCTTTAACTCATAAGTTGCTCTAGCAACATGTGACTCATTTTTGCAGAGCAGGTTACCATTTCTTGAAATAAGTGAATGTATGTTTACTTACAGGAGAAGTTGAGCAGTAACATGTCACTGCTTCATGTGGTTGTACGAACTGTTTGGCTATATTTCTATATAATCACATGTACATGTAACACTTTTCTATAAAAACAGCTTTTGCACACTAGGTTTATTTTCAGCTACATGTATCAGTAAACTTACTTTCATATACTGTGGCAAGCAGGTGAATGGATAAGCTTGTTCTAATCAAGTTTTTTTTTAAGAAAGTGAGCGTATGCAGTTTGGCATGTTTTCCTTTCTTGTGTTTATTAAAAGTGTGATACTGCCTTGTTGGGATCTGGGATAAACCCCAACTAAGACTAGAAGGCAACTCTTTCACTGGGATATAAATCTACTTCTGCTACTGCACAGATCAGTGACAAGAAGTCATTTTTGCAATTCAGTGAACACATCACAGCTTGCTATATACATCTATGTACAATTGTCAGACACAACATATGCTGTTCAACATGTATTACAAATGGGATTATGGATAGGTGGTAGCAGAAGACCATAGAAGTGAGTTGACAAGTTTCATCAGAAATTGTTATTGAGTGAAAACTAATTGGTGATATTCCCTGGCCTGTTCCCCTACCCCCGATCTCCAGCTGTGAATAAATAGGGGTGATCAAGAACAGCACCAAGGAAATTATCATTTTCCTTATATCCTGCGGATAAAGTAGACCAAAAATGCAACAATAAAATGGCTTTACAAAATTCCATGAATTAATTGTAAATCAAGTTTTGGGTAATTTTTGCTTTTATTCATTCTTTGGGGGAGGTATTATTAGTGTTGATTTGTTCTGAAATGGTGACTGTACAATGAGTAAAAACAAAAGAGAAGCCAAACAGAATTGTCATTCTATTCAGTGGTGTAGGGAAGGGGCACTTTTAATGCTGCCACCCACAAATCCCCCCCCCCAAAAAAAGGTTTGGTAGACTTGAGATGAAAATACTATCAGTGCTTTGAAATAACCTGTATTTCTTCCTAAATTGGAATAATGGAAGTACAAATTCTTTGTGCTTGAGACCCTAGCTAACTTCATCTAACTGCCTCTAGGCTTTTACAATGGTCATGACTGCTGCTCCGGTTAATTTTGTGTACAAATACCTTGCCTATTGCTTTTTATGAATATGTACTGCATTTCTGGGCATGACTTTAATGGGTAATTCACAATAGTGCATCTCTAAGGGTTTGCAATGTGTTGACCAATCCCAACACGCGAAATGTGTCAACCTTTTCCAGACGCACATTGGGTCAACAGATTTCACACACTGTGATTGGTCAACACATTGCAAACTCTTAAGAGGCACACTATTGTGAAACACCTGTATTACAGATTTGTACATGGCATACATCATCACTGGTATGATTTGAAGTTATATTACAATAGCAATGGACTGTTAATGACAACTGCTTTATTATAAAGCCTGGTGGTCCAGTTATGTGGCCACCACAATTAACAGGTTGAACAGATGCTATCCATGTTGCATCCAATTCCCCCCCCCCCAAAAAAAAAAACCCCTGGTCATGCTGCTTATTTTACCGACACCTAATTATATAACTATTGAAACTAAAAGCATAAAAGAAATGATAAAAATTTTGATGTAACTGAAAAGTCAAGTCATACACTATAGTGTCCTTTTATACTTGACAGATTTGATGAAGAAAGTCTAATTATTGAAATGACATTTTTCTGACACTGTCATACATGCATCCTTCCTGCATTACAACCTCCTCATGCAGTTTGCAATTTGTAGATGAAACTACACTGTATGTACATATAGTTTAGCTTGGTTTGGCACAAATCTAAAATGGGTACCCAATACCTGATGACAAATTATGTATATATGTGAACACGTACATTTTTCTTGTTTCAAAAAGCTGAAAAACTCTGGGGAAACAGGCTTTCATCAAAATGGAGGCAACTTTACAAAAGCATCAAAAACCCTTTTTTTCATCTTTGGAGTTGGGGCCTCACTGTCTCAATCTTTCACTAACTTGAGTTTTAAAACTTGGATCCATTAGGGTGCAAGATGTGGTACTGTGGGACAAGACATTCTGTGATCACAAATTGCTACTCCCTGCCGAACACTAAAACGTATACCTTTGAGGTTAAACATGGCTATTTTTTAAACTTTTACATTTTGCTCCCTTTTCATTTTACCAGTCTTTTACCGGCAATTGCTTTCATTGTACTTGTGTGAAGTTTTATCGGCTGAATGAATAATTATAATAATAGTAATTCAAAATTTGTCAACCTGTCTAATTCTTAATTGAACCATTTGAATTCACAATTTGAGGCATTCTGGCCAATGTTAACAAAAAGGCTTTTCCTATTGGACCAAATCTCAGGGATGGCCCCGAGGCAAAGTGGGAGGGAAAATAAGCCTCATTTCCCACGTGAAACACCCCACCCCAAAGATTGTTCTTTTCCCGGGGCGAGTTCAACCCCGCTTGGGACCAGGATTGAATTTTTATTCCCAAGGTGAGACGCTTTCCCATGGATGAGAAGGGGAGTGTGAAACGGGTCCAGGGTTCGTTTGCCTCGGGCCAAGCAATGGCACAAAGCTCACCAAAAGCGTGTGCTATTCTCATCAATTTGCATATGGACCACAACAACACATGCACATTATCCCTGCCGCTACATCTGCTTATGAACAAATGGAAGAGAAATAAACAAATTGCTTTACAAGTATCATTGGTCACATCAAGCCACTGGTAGGTGCCATTTTTTAGCTATGGCATTATTGGAAAATCTTCGCGTGCACTTCCACTTCGCCGACAAGCTACTCGTGCACTGCGTTACAAGCATCACCCCACTTGACAAGAGTGAAATGATGGGCAACTTCACCCCCGGGTGAGGTAAATGTGGTTTTGATAGAAACAAACATGAATCAAATCTAGGTTGAATAGTGTGCATCACCTCAGGGTGGCCCAGGGCCATCCCCAGGGTGAGTGTTCTAGTGGGAAAAGCCCTATAAACATTTGTGGCTTTTAAGGTAGGAGAATAAAAATCTCTATACAATACTAATTATCTTCAAAAATTCCACTGGAAGTTACTTCTTTTCAAAGTTTGCATTTCTTGTCAAGTAAAACAGAAGAAACAGAGGACAGGAATATTAATGTTTTGAGAACTTGCATTCTTACTGATACCAGTAATTGTTCCATCCTTAAAACATTCCATGATTTTGTAATTATTTCTTTAAAATGTGTTCATCTGAAAAATTAAACAAAAACCTTTGATTTTGCATTCTGTGCCAAGTTCCCATGTAATTTTGCCAAGACACTTCACAAAATTAAGGTACAAATTAGGCTAGTTCTGTCGGACACTAATAGCTTAATAACTCAACACATCCTTACTGAGAACTAAAACCACTGTTGTAAGGAAAAAATTCAACAAATTGGTAATTAATACCAATATACCAATACCAATATATTCTGATTCTATATATCAAAATATAATTTAGATATGTATTTTCCACATTCTGCTCAATACACCGGTATTATGTAAATTTTTGCTGTCTTTCACAACTCCAGTTTTTCAAGATATTTTCCGTCTTTACTTGCTTTTAATGCTGTAATATTTACAGGAAGGCACCTTGTTTATGTACGTGAATGTTTCAAAATACCACTTTAAAAAAGCTGTAATGATTCAAATCTTATAGCATAGGTAACTGTGCCATATAAATTAAGGCACTTATCAAATCCTGAGTTTTCAAGTTGAACTGATTTTAACAGCTGAAAATAACACAAAATTGAGACTTTGACACTTTTCAATAAAATGAAGCAGTTAAATAAAATACTAGATAAGTGCTTATTAGAATATTGTAAATACCGGGGATTCACAGCAGTGCCTCCCCAAGACTTTGCAACGTGTTGAACAATCACAATGTGCGAAATCTGTTGATCCTTTCCGAATACGCACTAGGTCGACAGATTTCACGTATTGTAATTGGTCAGCATGTTGCAAACTCTAGGAGGCGCACTATTGTGAATGGCCCGTATTGTAACTTATTCTACTATCATATGCGGGTTGGCGAGTACAGTTTTTACAAAACTATCCAATGAGGACTCATCACTGTAAAAATAACTTGGAGAAATTTCAGTTCAATTATAGTTTCCAGTCCCAGAGGTCGTTGGAATATTTAGCTCCGCCCTTTCCTTTGGGCAAAGGGTTTTGTGATATTGCAGATTTTAAGTATATGCAATGCTTCTAATAGGTAGACGTGTACATGTAAATGCTACAGGAATATTACAAATTATAATTTTTTATATATAATGATAGTTTTAAATTATGCTTAAAGCACGAATTCCAGAAATTCAACAAGTGATAAAGTTTCAATATTCTTTAAAATAAACTAAAATAATAAGTATACATATTTCAAGTACTATCTTCTTTGACAGGCAAACATGAGAGAAGATAGTTTCAGCATGTCTGTAAGGCCACTGAAGATCAGGTTTTAATTAACACTTTAGACTAAAAGCTAAGCACCATTTTGTAATTTAATTACAAGTATTTAAAAAAAATGAAAAGAAAACATACCTGAATGCATGTACATTCATGACAATTTAATGGACCAGTTTAATAAATGCATACCCACATAAACAAGGTGAACAATTTTTTGTAACTTTTTCAAATATAGGATTAAAATATTTCAAAATAACTGTGCTGAACTGACCTCATTTGTTGCACATACATGTACAGTACGTCTACCCAACTGGCACAGTCTACATGTATGTGCATGGTCAGCTCACACATTTCTTTACCATGGTCAATCACATACCATACATGTACATCTTCAAAGGTGGCAATGAAGTAATTGATTTCATTTTCCAAAAATGACAATACTTTTCAAAATGCCAAACGGGTTGAGTATGCATGCATTTCAATTTAGTGAGAGCATGTACACTGAGGTGCGACTACTGTAATTGCAATGTACACGTACATGAACACTGAACATGTAGAAAATATGTCAATTTGTTTTTTCCTTCGTAGTTAAGCCATTCTTGTCTTGGACATGTGCAGGTACTGATTTCTGCCCTTGTTCGTATTCCTCCATGATGTAATAGAAGACTAAAATGCTTAGTATTGTGCCAATGAATGGGCCCATCCAGTACACTATGATGTGCTCATACAGCTGATGACCCTTGCAATTGTAAGTCAGGGCAGTGGCCAGAGCAGGGTTGAACATCATTCCAGTCCATTCAAGACCTAAATTGTGATCAAAGACACAATATATATGTCAACAACACAAAAAAAAAATATTTCAATCCAAATGTAGCACTGCAAAGGGTCACACTAATTTGTCAAAATGCCATTCTTCAATGCACTATTAACCTAACATGAAAGGAAATGAAATTGTACAAGTATGAACCAGTACATGTGCAACTTGCCGTCCAAACTTACATTTTAGCATGAAATGCTACAGCTGCCTTTCCAACAAAGGGCACAGGAAGGGATGGAGTATATATATGTAGCTATAAAATGTGTTAAAAAAATGAGCCTCTTTTTCGTTCAAATTCCCTCTGTCCCCACTGATCAGTAGTTATGTAATTACGGATGTATCATGTACATTAGAAACCATTTCAGACAGCATTACTTGAACTACATTATACATGGTATATGAATTGCGTTTGTAGGTAAGAACATTACCAAACATACAGTACATGTATGTATATACTGTACCAGTAATATCCGACTTAAAACGCATTTTACAACAAACATGACACAACACATCAAATGGCAGGGTGTCTCAACACTGTAGAGCATTATACTTTGCTCATGAGCCAACATGTATGAAGTTTACAGCACTGTAAAACTCATGACATACAATATGTACAATGTACATGTACAAAATACCGGTATTACATTCACAGCATTTTGTGGAGTTCCAAGCTGGTAATGCAGGCTACTACATGTACATGTACATCTGATACATGCAACCACGTATAAACAGACCAGTACCTGAACATGGACAGTGTACCTGTACATGTACTCCCATTTTTGACAGTTTTACAGAAAAGTTAAGTTTCTGTCACAAAATACATTTTAGAAGAGAATTTGTCATGTTCTGTACGGGGTACCGGTACCTAAATGTATATGTACAGTGTACGTTCATTGTATCCTTCCAAGCTTTACGATCAGGATAAGTTATTTTTCAAAATAAATGAGTTTCTTGAGGGCAATTGCAAGGACAGGTTCTCTTTTCCTTCAAAAAAAGAGCAGTTCAACAGCCAGGACTCAGTAATTGATGAGTTTACGTGTACCTTGGAGGCACGTACCTTGGAGGCACGCACCTTCTTGGCAATGTAGCATTGCAGATTCATGGAAAAAACTTCATTCTGGAATGAGGTATGCAGTCGACTCGCGTCCATGACACTGACACAAGTCAAGTGTGTGCCTGATTATGCTTACTGATACACTTTCATGTCAGTTTACACATCAATGAAAGTCTACAAACCATTCTTAGTTGACTAAATGATTATGGGTAAGAGAGAATTACATGTATATCTTGAAACAAGGGAGGTTTAAAGTGTGAAAATCACTTTTTGTTGATGAAAATCCTCTTGATATGCAGCTTAAAAAGGGCCACCATGTTTGGACCATACCATTATGCTTTGGGGTGATTTTGAATTTGCAACATTTTTGCGTGAAGAAAACTTATATAAAATATGACTTCAACCTAATCCAATTTATTTTCTACTTAATACATGTACCTCACTCTCACTTTCCTCTAATTTCAGTTTACGATGCGTTTGGTGAATATCAACCAAATGTTTTTACATGTACATGTAGGTGCTTTTAGTATTACCCATTCATGCAGACTCCCACATCTACACACAACACACATAAAAATCAGTGCATGTGGTATGTAAAACGAAATGAACTGTTTGACAGTGGTTGGCCAACCATCGCCAAAAAAGAGAACAAAAATTATGTTTTCTCGAAAACTACAGCATCCTGGGCAGAAATACTTTACAGATTGGCCGAGACTGTTTTTTACTTTCTTTCAAGTAAGATATTCGAGAATTATTTGGATTTTACCAATGGTGTCACCTACATTCACTACCTTAAATGTAGAAGCATTTCAATCTGCCTCTCTTTGAAAGAGAATTAAGCGAGCTCATATGAAATAATTGAGGTTTTTATAAAGACAGACTATTTTGGGAAGGTTTTACATCCATAAGTATGTGCATGTACATACCAACCAGAAGGGCAAGGCAAATCAAAGAAAGAAGAAATTCAAATTGTTTGTTGCAAAGATATATTCCTGTATTTCATTTGTTAAGAATGGTCATACATGCACATGTATCAATGTCAAGTTTACAAAAATGAGTGCAATGTTCATTTATGTGTTTCACTCAAATGCTACTTTACACAATGCTCATTATTTGCATCACAAAGGCACAGGTTGTGTATTAACCAGTACACTTATCAGTCAGTGAATCAAGTACATGTACATGTACTATATTTTTGCGTTGGGGTTCGAGTCCCACCCGAGTACATGTAAGCTTGTGAAATTTTTCGTAAGCTCTCGGACAAGCACTGAGCATACAGTGTTTATCAATATATACGTTGGGTAAGGGCAAAACCTGTTACATAAATCAAAATTACTCGGAAAATTTTTTAGAATTACTAGTAGAGTACCTTGATTCAGTGTATACATGTACCAAATACGGTAAAATAAAAATTCAGCTTTGTACATACACTGGTATCTTTTACAATTTTCATAAAGTAATGTACCTGTCAACTGTAATCCCGGCCCCAGGACTAGTGGGGAAGATAAAACAGGGCCAGCGTGATAGTCCCGCCCAAGTCCCCGTAAGTTGCCCGGCCAAGGCGGGGCACCCTTTTTTGTATTCCCCGGCTGATCCCTGGCCCTAGCATGCCGGGCATCATTGTGGTAACCCCCGCGCAATCCTGGGCCTGGCGTGTCGGCCGTTATGACCAATCCCCGCACCATCACTGCCCCAGCATGCTGGGTTGTGACGCAACAACCATGCAACTACAAATAAATAACTAATAACTTTCATTAATTTCTAAAAGTGACACAGAGTCGGTCGCCATAAGTGCACGTAAAATGCCACTGAAATAAAGCAAGGGGTAGCTGCTATAATTTTACCGAACTTTGGCAAAACATTCGTCCACAAATCTGAAGCACCGAAATCAGGGGGCCGACGACCCAAATCGCTATATTCTTTCTTTGCGGGCGTCTCAGAAATAATTATGGAAATTCATCCAATAGCAAAATTTGTTACGCGCATTTTTCAATTGACCAATTGAAACGCTCGTCATGTACATGTGGCCAATGCCAGCCCATGAAATAATTATCAATTATCACAACATTTCATTCGTTTATTGAAGATAGACAAAGATAACCAATGATTTGAAATGTATCGACAAAAGACACGTGACCAGTGCTACTTGGTCGAAAGATTAAATTACCACGTTTTAATCATTTAGCAGTCCATAGAAAGTGGGGGCAATGTTTGTAAAAAAAGAAAGGTCTGTATTTTGTACGCACTGATCCAAAAATGAAGCGTCATCTTTGTCAGGTTTTCCTCTGTCAGGGTAGGGGAAACACTTTGTATTTTAAATCGAAGCTCAATGCTATAAAATTTTACCGATAGACGGTGTAACAAATTGTACAACCATGGCCAAGTCCATGCTATCGTCCCGGGTCAGTGGGGCAGCCATTGTACAACCCCGGCCAAGTCCCTGCTATCGTCCCGGCCGGCGGGGCACCTTTTTTTTGGACATCCCCAGGTACGTCCCCGCTACATTTTTGACAGTCCCGGGTCCCCCAGGGCCGGGATTACAATTGACAGGTGCATAATATTCATGTACATGTATGTACATGATGTATATGACCATTAAAAGTACTTTGCCATGCCACTTTTTAGCCTCCCTATTGCTTGCAGCCTTGGTTGCTTTAGTAGCATTTTTGAAGATGTCTTTTTTCTGATAGCAAGCTGGGCCAATCTACATGTACATGTAAGTCGGATCACATGGGAGGTGTTGTGTGATCATCTACATGTAGAACTGAAAGACCTCCCCAGAGTATCGTGTTATCATCAGAGAAACACTCCACGAGAGAGAGAGAGAAAGCCACCAGATTTCCACTGCCTTTTTGTTGTTGACATTTCAACACCTTTCCCAGCTTGTATCTTTTTAATCCATTCACCAAACAATTACTGGTAAACGTAGTAATCCATAATCAAAAATTAAAAATGGTGAGTGCCTGCCAGCGCTTTGGAGCACTGAAGCACGAAATTGTAGGTAGCGTTCTTAGCTTTGCTGTGGTCTTTTTCATGATTTGAAGTTTGCAGAGTGGTAACACAAGATGCAAAACCTAATCTAAGTAGTTTTATTACAATTCAAAGTCATATTTATATTAAATTTACTCAAAACCTCAAATGCATATCTTACCTGACACAACCACAACGGCAGTTGTGAAAGCATTCACCATTTTGTAATACTTTGGCCCTCCCAGCCCAATGCCAGCAACACTGCGGGACACAAACATCGCTATGGCCTCTACCAGAGCTCCTGTCAATAAATTCACTTGTAGAGCTGATACACATGATACTCTGACCATCTTGGCATGGTTAATGTGTACTGAACTGGGTGCAAAGGTATGCCAAACAAAGAGCATATATCGGAAGGCAAGCAACCCTCCAACCACCTCTGCAGCCATCTTCAGAGCACCATTGAGAACACTGATTTTCCTTTTCAGAATCTGCTCAAAAATGGCAGCAGGGTTGCCGAAAGCGTCAAAAGTAAGACTGTATCCCAATCCAAGGCAGAATATCCCAAAGGCATAGACCCAAGTACCATGGGTGCCCAACACAATGCCGTTTTCATATACACAGCTTGTCAGTTGGAATGTACACAGGAACTCTGCTACAAACTGATAAATGGACCTTGGAAGGATGGTACTTGTGGCAACTCGCAGAGCTTGTGTGAGGAGAAAAGTACTCAGAAGAATCACCAATGAAAACACGAGCGACATGTTGATTCAATCCTCTGAAATAAAAAAAATAATGGCAATTACAAGGCCTTGAATTTGGTAATTTTTAGGGCAAGGCCACTTTGGCCTTAAATGAAGCAAAATTATAGAGGGCATCACGGCCAGTTGGGAGAGCACTAGGCCAGATAAAATCTTTAATAGGGGCACAGAGGCTAAATGCCAATATGCATTCATCAAAAACTTTTGACAATCAGAACATACATGTACGTGTACACCGCGCACACGTCGCCTCGGACACGGACCTCAGTGTAAATCAAATGTGAATTGTGTATCACACATACATGTACACACCGAGAAAGATAAAGTCAGGCGACTGCATGTGAAATCTGCTGCATGTACTCGTGCTGAGTGTACGAATAGACACGATAGAGGCATTTACCGGTATTTTTGCAGCAGGGGTGTTGCTGCTTGAAGTATTGGCACATTCAGAACCCGTGCTTCTACATGTACATGTATGTAGAGAAATGTATGGTACATGCATGTACCTGTACAATGCATGCTTTGTGCGGACGTATACGATGTATATATACATTCAGTACATGCTTGGACTCGATCCTGTTTTTTTAGGCTTATGGATGTTTATGTGAAAAGGGCATAACGGCCAAGGCAAATATAGGGCAAGGCAAAAGTGGCTGTGAGGACGGAGACATTTTGTGGGGCACCTCGGCCAGTGAGAAGGGCAATGATGGCACTGGCCGTAGTGGCCGTCATTCATCCCAAGGCCTGAATTACATGTGTACATGTATGGTGTCACTGCACTGAAATTTTACATTTTTATGAATTTTCCCAAGATTCTTTACAACAATTACACTGTACGTATTTTCTAAGTGCTTGCCGTAAATACTTCGGAATTTAATAGTTATATTTTTAGGGCAAGTTATGGAAAGAGTTCCCTAAACAAACGCCGCTTGACACCCTGTGCACAAACCCTATGCTACATGTATGAGATTGGTGTGAAAAATTCTAGGCATAGGCTATGTGTTTTCTAAGTAAACGACTTGGTTTTTCCCTTTTCTGGAAATGTTTTTGCTGTCTGACAGATAATAGGTATGGCGTACTATTTATGACACACATTTCTGTCTCTCTGTAGCCTCTTCCGAGGTGATGCAACTCCACAAAGCGACGGCACGACGGCTTCCTTGCATTGTGCTGTCACATCGCACCATTGCCTTCTTGCCATTATGTTTGTAAACACAAATGTCTTACATCCTCTCCTTGTTGCAATTTTTTCAGCCTAAACATTGCTCCTTCCAACGCCGGTCGCATCGCACTGTCGTGTTGTACATGTATGTTATGCCGTGCGTTGCGTATTGCGTCATCTGAAGCATGACAAAACACATGACACAAGGCATGACGGGACGCTCTGTGTGCTGTCACCCTTTGCTTCATGGTGTCTATAGAGGGTGCCTTGCCCTTTACTGTTTTCTTTCATTTCGTCCCCTGTGCACAGAACATGTACATATACATGCTATACATGAACATGTAGGTAGCAAGCTTTGATTCTGTTGTTTTTGTTTATGTATTCTTTGTAACCTTGTGTTTTCATTAAGAGTGAGTTGTTGAAGAAAAGGGTTTTTTTCTTATTTTTTCTTTTTAAATCAAATGTAATTAAACAGAATGTTGCAAACAACTATCGGCATTGTCTTCAGGAAATAAATAACATTAATGTCAGCCACGACCGTGTTTTAGCTTTTCCTGCTCTAATTCTGATCTTTCTAATAATAATTCGTAAGTTCATTCTAAGCTATAATACATCAATCATTATTACATGCTTGGTAATGTAACATGGGGATCTGATGAGAAATTATATGTGTGGCCAAACATAGTTGAAGAAAAGACACCGTCACAATGATAATACGGTCTACAGTGTTTTATTCAGAAACACAGACTAATATCATTGAAAGTGTGGTGCTGATGAAGTTAATGAGGAAGACTGAACTGAAGGAAGACTGAAGATGGACCACAGAGAAATATCTTAAGGTTACAAATCTACCACAAATGGGAACTTCATCAACAGAAATTGGACGGAAATTGGAACAAGGATCCGATGGGTTATTAAAGAGTGACAAATTCTGGGCTCACACTTATTATGAGAGAGTTCATGTAGTTTCTACATACATGTACACGGATTTTCTATTTGCTCTTTTTTCATTTTTTAAAAATAAAATATGACAGAAACCAATTGAAATTGATGAATGGATGAAATAAAAACAAGAAAAATCAATGCCTGCGCCTCAGGGCATGTATTTTGCAAGCACGCAGGACAGAAATGAAAGAAAACAGTGATTAAACCCTCTTTAAACACCATGAGGCAAAGGGCAACAGCACATGACACATAGCATCATGCATTGTGTTGTGTGTTGCATCATGCTTCAGGCAACGTACAGTAGTACGTGACACGACATACAGTGTACGATGCAATGCAGGACGATGCAACGTGACAAAAGAAGAGATAGGCAGAAATGTGCGCCGTAAATAGTACACCATACATGTAAATACATGTACTTGTAGGTCACTGTTAAGTGAATAATTATTCGTTCGCATATGGAACTTTTCCCCTTGCCGTCACTTTCTGATGGCTGTTAACATTTTAATTGAAAATTAGTGTTGTTTACACATGTTTCCCGCAATATCGACCAAAGGCTAGGCCTACACACACTTCTAAAAAAAATCACTCAATCATGTCCAAATGTTAAACCAGGCGATTTGTAGAGTCCAAGTTACTTGGACTAACATACATGTATAATAGTTGGGGAATGAGCTCAGTTTCAATTACACTTTTGCATACGAATGGTTTGATGATGGGTATCTTCAAGTAGTAGAATGGTACTGAAGAAAACCCATTTCTTGAATTCAGCATTCCTAGCATTAAGGGGTGGGGACCCCCCGATCCCCTCAAAATTCATGTTTTCTACACAAGTCTGAAACTTGGCCCTACATGTATATAACCAGTAATCATCAGTGACTAAAAAATTATACAAGTACATGTAGCTCAAGAAAAGAAATTGTCTGGCATTACTATTTAAGAAGAGCCCTTTTTAAGGATTCAATTACACTTCTGCACACAAACAAATTACTTTGCTTTTTTTGTCTCATCTGATGTATCTGGAACAAAAATATTGCTCAAGAAAGGCTCATTCCTGGCATCTTAGAAAAAGAAGGGATGTTTTGACCTTTACATATATGTGACAAAAAGGGGTCCCATGTCCCCATTTACACTTTTGCATGCATGGAAACTTGGTTGGCATTAACATAAGTAATGAAAACAGAAATGATGCTCAGGAAAGGCTCATTCCTGGAATTTTCAATTTATAAGGGGTCTTTTGACCCTTAGAGTGACAAAAAGGGGTAATTAATAAGCTTGAGAAACTTTTCGACTTTAATGGTCCTATCAATCAGAGAGATAAATGCCATATTAAGACAAGCTTCTATACCTAATATTTGCTGATAACTTTGAAAAACATCTTGAAGATGAGAAAGGGTCAGGGGCAGAATGCCATTTTACCAGATCTACATGTATATTGTACTCACTGAAATTTTGAGAAGACCCCTCACTGGAGGGAGATTCCCGGAAATCAGTTTCCAGGAAAGAAGCCAGTTGAGATGACCGTTTACATGGAAGGAGATTCACAGAATCAGTTTCTAGATAAGCTATTTAGTCATGTTTTTGCAACAGGTATGTACATCTTTTTAAGCACTCATGTCCAATGGGTCACTATAAAAATATAAGTTTAAAGTGGCTATGAACTGTGCAGTCTGACAAAGAGCATATAATCTTGCAGGTTTGTTACTTAAATAATCACAATTTCTTCTTGTTGACCAATGCACATGTATATTAAAGGCCTATTACGTAAGGCAAGGTTGATACTACACAGGCCTGCCCCTTACGTCTTCTAGGTACAACCTCGTAAATATGGGGACTATCAACCTTAGACACATGACTGTAATTTCTGGCTAAGAGGAGAATTTACGGTGTGTCTGAAGTGTGTGTTGTCCTCCTCATCTACATGTACATACATCACTTCCCTCAATCTCTTTCAGATAAATTCGCGATTCAAAAGGTTCGCGCTAAACTTCTGCAAACTGTGACTTCTAAGAAAGAATCTGCAAAAAACATAATAAACAAGCAGCAGGATCACAATATACTGCTGTCAATATAGAAAAACCCTCACTGTCCACAAGTGAAAATGACTGAAGCAAGCAAAGGTAAGGACTTAGTTAGAAAGGCTCATTTTCTTGAATATAGGCCTTCCTACATGTTTTTGTCTTTTTCACAATTTGTCCCATGTCAAGCACATGACATTGTGGAATTTGTGAAAGTCGAAAAGGTTTATTCTTTTCCTGAGTTAGGCCTACTAGCATACATGTATTTTTTTTATCACTGAACAAGCTCACAAAGCCCCTGGCTACTAGCCCCTGGCTACTAGAGCGAGAGGAAAACCTCAAACCTAAGGGGTACGGCCATGGTTATCCCACTGAGATTAATCTTAGGACAATTTCCAGGCTGAGCGTTGCAAGAAAATCGGGACCAGTATAGTTACAATGGATTGGCTCTGATTCTGCCAATTTCGACCCGATCAAACCAGAACTGATATTTACCGGCTGATCTCCACCTGCTGCATCAGGGGTCTCAAGATGGTTAGTCGGTACAGGTTAACCATACGCTCTCACTCAGCTCACACACTCAAGATGTTTTTAGTGGGTTTGGGGGTCCCCCACCCTTGAATGCCGGGAATGTTGAATTCAAGAAACAGGTTTTCTTACAGTACTAGTACAACTACCACTACTGATACTAGTGATAGACATGATAGAGATAGCCATAACCAAACCTTTTGCATGCAACAGTGTAACTGAAACCTAGCAGCGCTAGCTCCCGGTCTGTAAAAGTATTGATACATGTACACATGTACATCCTGTCTAAGCCCTCCACACCATGTCCACCGTGACGATCGCTTTACGGTCACTTTGCCCCAGTTCAACGTTGCCCCGTCCCCACTTCGCCCCATTTCGGCTTTGTCCCATACATGCTCGAGTGTGTTTACAAGCACAAGAGTCTTCACAAAATGGTTGAAAGAGGAGTTCCACAAATGGCATGGAGTTATACATGTAGGCCTAAATAGAAAACTCTACGGCATTCACAAAATTAGTGTCGCCTGCTCAGAATAAAAAATAATTTTAGTTTGTATTTCATGCGCACGAATCATTTCGTACACTAGTAATAAATTATTTTGTGTGCTCCAAACAATTTCGTGCCCTCGAAATAATTTTTTTGTGTGCTCGAAATCATTCTGTGCACTCAAATTAAACCATTTCGTGTGCTCGAAATAATTTATTTTGTTTATTTTTGTTTGAATTTAGTCCCCCTTGTTTGTTAAACAAGAGGTAGCTTGTTACCCTGTTTTTCGATGAATTTAGCTAAGATTTTTCTGCCCCAACCTAGCCCTAGCACATAAGCTGCCAGACCTCCCCACATTCCATCAATGAATTCTAAAAATGATTCATTTCAAACGCACGAAATTATTTCAAGCACACGAAAACAATTACTTCGAGCGCACGAAATGACTGCGAGCACACAAAAAGATTTCAAGTGCACGAAATGGAAATACAAACTAAAATTATTTTTGTATTCTGAGTTTTTAACTCATGTCACTTTAGGGGCTCCGTACCTTTGCTTCTGTTACTAAAGAACAGAATGAATGATAATCGGTGGGGCAAAGTGGAAATGGGGCAAAGTGGGAATGGGGCGAAGAGGGGATGGGGAAGTGGGAATGAGGCGAAGTGGGAATGGGGCGAAGAGGGGATGGGGCGAAGTGACTGACGATCGAGTGGATTTCCAAAAGTAGGCCAAGGCCCTTAGGCCTAGCATGGAGGAATTACTAATTAGGATCCATCATCTGATCATGGGCCAGTACTAGTAATAAGTATGTAGGCCTAACCTGGTAACTTACTCTGCGAACTGTCATTAAGTCATGGAAGTTGTGTCAACTGTCTGCATAAAACAAGTAAAATCAAGGCTTCCATGAGGCCCTTCACACCAACTCCGCATTTTGGTGGTCTCTTTCGGAAAAAAAATTTTAAATGAGAGCTGTGCTGCGCACAAATGTCGCGGCTACATGTGCATTCTAGTTGACACTCCACACATACACATGCCACAGGTGCCACGCGTGCATGCACCGTACCCACTTTACACGCGGTACGAGCACAGCTACAGATTTCGTCAGTGATCTTAACACTGGTTCGCCCGATCCATTAGGCGAAGTTTGGTGCCGTAAACCAACGACAGCAGTACTGGATCCAGATAGCCCTCGCCACTGAATATATAATCCATGTATTACAAGGTGATCTTCCTTATAGCAACATCGAAACTGGCTCTAAATTTGCGCACTTTCACCTTTAGGCGCATGCTTTCTCTGCGACTATTTCGCCTTCTGAAGAGAGTAAGGCCCACTTGGTAAAGGAATCCCATGGCCATTTAGGAAACACCACACTAACTCAACTTCTCAAGAAGGTAAGCCTACATTACTGATCGTAGGCTTTTGAATCTTTGACTGTTTGATGAGAACTGCGACCTCTGTATCTGCGTGGACGTGATGTGAAAACAGAAAATATCGCTCTGACCTCTGGTGAGACAATAAACTTTTCGACGTTCGCAATGCATGGGTACAGGTGTGGATGACAAACAAGCGATGCATTTTATGCACAACCCTATCGGGGAAGTGAACATGGTGAACCAGTCAAAAATCAAGTTACAGTTTTCTACTAAATATTTTTATGTATCTGCTCATCAACTCACAGATATGCGACAGGGAGTGGGGCTTATATGCTGGTTGGAGGTACTGGAGTGTGACAGATCCTGCTGTGTATTTTAAAATACGTTTTCAAATATTTGTAAGAACAAATCACCCTTAGCGTAATTGCCTTTTTTAAGGGCACTAGTCACTCTATATACAGGCTGAAAATGAATGTGACTGGTCAAAGTGGGATGAATGAGCTGCAAGTCGTCACGTTGATTGGACAATACTAGAACATTAATATTCACGAATTAGTCAAAGCACAGTCCGTGACAAAAAGTGGTGTTGTAGGAAGGAATTCTCCAAATTTTCCTTCTCTGCCAAGCTTTAAACTTCGAACTTTGTGAATATCTTCGTCCCAAATCAATAATGCAACACTTTGTCAGAAGGGGGGTGGCTTGAATTGGAGTATGAAATAAAATGGAAACAGATTAACGTTTTGTAGGTACACTTCTCCCATAGTGTTGTGCATAAAATGCATTACATGTATGTCATCCATGTACATGTAGTTTCCATGCAACATCATGAACATACATGTACATGTATGTGCAAAGCAAAGGGACTGAACCTTGAAATTTTAATGAAAACTTGGGGTGGTGCTATATAGAGTCAACATTGACCATGTTAACAAGCGTCAACAAAGCATCAGCAAGTTATTCAAGCATATTTATGCAAATTTTTCATAATATTACATATCAAATTCAATGTATCATATCTATTTGAAATGGTATTTGAGTGACAAAGTCAGGCCTGCTTATGCAGCGCAGTGGCAGCCTGACCAGCCGCCATCTTGTTTTTGCGTCGACGGCAAACATGGCAGAGGAAAGAAAGATGGTGGCCCCCATACATTGCGAAAAAATTTTGTTTTCCTGCAAGATTCTGTAAGCAAATTTGGTGCTTTTTAACACAGTAGCACTCACTGGCAGGTGTTAGTCTTTAAAATATAATAAAACCACGTTTAATCAGTAGACATGGTAGAGGGCATTGTTCATGGTATTTTCAACATTGTGGTTGTTTGTTTTCGACACTTTGTTGACGCTACATGTACATGTACTTACCCACAGAACTATCCTCAGAGTGGGGGCCAGTCTACTGGACTCCCTCCGTATCCTAGGCCCTATAGAGGGATCCCAATACGACGCTTTTAGCGTCGATCTGCGCACTTTTGCGTTTGAAAACGACTTCTACAAATTGGAAATCGCCAAAGTTATACATTAGGGTATTGATGGGGTGAATGATCTATACGCAAAATCATAACCTTAGGGTGTGTTCAAGTGAGCTACTCGTGTTAATACGAGTATATTCCTGAGCGTTTGAACGGCTGAAGTATGACCCGTGGGCCAGCTAGAGTATATTCTCTCTAGAGAGGGCTAATACTCTGCACCCGAGTGATAATATGCTCACGCATGCTACTCGTGTTAACAGGAGTAACCGCGTGAATGTACCCTTACATTACTCAAATAGAGTGCAAGGAGTTGAGATGTGATGGCTGGTTCCTGTTTACCCAGGCCTGAACTGCTCACTGTCATGACTGCCAGCCCATGCCTGGGTAAACAGAAATTAGCCGTCGCATCTCAACTCCTGGTGCTCTATTTGTATAATGTAAGGTTACAGTTTGAGGGTCACAAACTTGACCCCATGATGATTCGAGCTGTCAACGTCAATGTGCACGAATGGATAAAGTCCAAAAATGAGCTCAAAATTTTTTGAAAAGTAGGAGGTAAGATTACGTAGTAAACATGGTAAAGGATTAATTCAGAAGCGGAGAGGGTATGGCATACATGTACATCAGGCATTTCCAATCATGAAAATTCTTTCATTTCGAAGCACTTGAAAAAAATCAACAAAAATTCGGTATATGGGCATGTGGCTGTAGGGAAGCGCAGCGTTCCTTGAGTAAAGCCTAGGATTCCAGTACAAACTACACGTAGTAGTTTTGGGGGTCATTTCAAAATCCTTATTTTCCTGATATTTATTTTGTCTGGGATATTACCTTTAATTTTCTTGCAGATATAGCTCTAATAAACACATGTACATGTAAGACTCTTAGAATTTTTCAAAGTACATGTAAATGTTAACAGGGGAATTTAATAGTTTTCATGAGGACTTTCTTTCAGAGTGAAGAAAAGTCTGAATAAACCTTTTCACGTTTCATGTGCACATGCTCAAAAGATTTTATAGAGCGGAACAAATTCATGACAAGAACTTTGCTGTTGCGTATTGTTTGGCGGAGAGCTGCTCGCAAGCCATTGTTAACTTTTTTCACTTAATCACGCAAGGCACGGCCTGCCATGCACCATAGTATATATACGAACTCAGTTCTGATGAAAATGAACAGAGGGCGCCCTGCGAAAAGAGATTTTGCTCGCACATGCACTAATTGAAAAATATGCATCGTGAAATTTATGAATGAATGTCTTCACCCGACAGCCGCCCAGCGTCCTGGAAATTTGTGTGATGATGATGTGTGATATTGTTTTCATGTTCTCTTATTAATTTCAGTTTTGAAAATGAAATCAGAGAAAATACGAAATCTTTCCTTTTTTTAACCAAATTCCAAAAAATAGGTGGATACTTAATTTTCCCATGCTTTGAGGTAACTTTTCAACCCAACTCTACCGGCCCATACCAAAAAAACCTCAAAGATGACATCATTTATGCTTCTTAAAATTCTTCTGATTTTGACCCAAAAAAATGAATTTTGGCAGGAAATTTTATGTTTTGTTGAGGGTGGTAGTCTTGCCAACAACCCCAAAGTCATTTGGTCCAATCAAAGCTCATCCCCCAGTCGTAAGATAATACTACTTCATGTACTTGAAGGTCATCTCATGTATCTTGGAACCTGCAATTTTGCTGTGATGGCAGTTAACAAACTTCATTAGTTTAGCCAAATTGCTTGGATACTCACTTTGTTTGAACTTGTGAGGCAATTTTGAACATTTAAGTAGTCTACTGATAGTAAAATGAAGTATATTCTGAAATGGCCAATACTTTTAAAAGTTTTTTCAGTGTTATCATGTGAATTTTGTACATGATTGAGTGATGCTTGCTGGGTGTGGTATTTAAAACGGTGGCTTGGTCATGCTGAAGTCTTTGCGAAATCTGCAATTTTGCCATTTGCAGGACATTCTGGGGGTAGAAAATGACATTTGCAGTGTAGACATGTTTTAAAAGGACGGGCATTCTATTATGGAAGTGAACTTCAATGGAAGGATGAAATTCAAGCTGTTTATTGGTCATGTGCTGCCCATCCGTATCTGTAGTGTACGTATGCCCACAACTGATAACCCATTTAAACTTGAGCAAGAGAAGTTTTACCATCAGTTTCATTGCATCTAACTTGAAAGTGTGCATGCTGTGATAAGTCCTTGCATGTTAGCAATGTTGCATTGCTTTGATGTGGACTCAGACACATGTGTTCTCCGAGTGAAATGACCCTCACATCATGACCATGCCATTTCAGAACATAGCATATGATTTGAAAATCCACCAACCTGTGTTCAGACATCTTTTAGAATCATCATATGTCCACGTGAAAAACCATGTGACAACAAGTGTAATTTTAATAAGTGACTCTGGTCACCTACCAGCTTATTACAAATTTTAGAACTTCAACAATTTGTGTCTGTAAGTGCAATCATTTTGGGGGATTATGTTGTGGGACTTCTTTCCTTTTTTATTAGGGGATTTTTTAAAGGAGTACTAAAAAATAGGTAAAAGCTAACTTATGTTAAACTTCTCGAAACCTACTTGTACATGTACATCTAAGGTTACATCTAATCTACGAAGTGTGCTTATTTTCCCTTAGAATGTTTGTAATAGCCATTAGAAAGTGATAAAGTATCATAAAAAGTGAAATGTAGCACTTTACATTTAGGGCCTACTCAGAAAGCACCTGGAATTTTTCAGACCAGTCTCATAGGTTTGTGCACAGGGCATTCTTTCTAATACCTGCATAAAAATTTCTATTTTGGAGAACATATCCTACAGCAACAAACACTTGGTAACTACAACCCAACTACATTAACAAAATTAACTAATTTAAAATGGGTTTGATTAGTAAGCAACCAGTACAGATCACTTCCTTGGGTGTACAGTGACAACTGGATACCCCGAAGACTTGTCACAAACCCAATTTAGTGGTCTGGTTAACCAACTGCATGTGACCTACATGTACATGTACTGTAATCCTGGTATATTCATGAACAGTAAAAGCTAAGCCTTGATACCGGTACATACGTATGCATACTGGTATTTAAAAATATCCCTAGCCTCCAAAACCTAAATGTTCAACTCCTGCTGTACGATTACATTTTGTAATCTCTTAACTTACATGTAGGTGAGCTGGGACATGGCATGTTGCCTGAGCACAGTTTTTGTCGCTTTTCAGGTTCTCGCACACTTGCAAACATGCGTTCCAATTTATTTGTATATGCATTCAGTTGCCTGCTCAGGTAGGCATGGTACTGGTGGCCTACTGTACTTTGAGAATTCACGGCCAAAGACACTACTGTACTCCGTCACCATTCCAACTTAGAGTTGTTGAAGTAGTAATCGTGATCCCCACTCTTGTCTGTTCTTTCTACGCTTGTCTGCTCTCCCCAGACAGTAGGCCTACTGGGCCCAATTTCATGGCACTGGCTAAGCATATTTTATGCCTTCAGAGTAGGCCTACATGGCCTAGCATTCAGGACCAATCATGTCAGTAATGATGGATGTAGGCCTACCCCGAGCCCTAGCCCCAGACTGAGGCCAGTCTACTACCTGAGGGGTCGACATCAAGTCAACATTTTCTCACGTTAAAACGCCTTTTTTAAAAATATGCTTTCCTACATACATTTGCAAGTTTTGAAAAGAAACTTCTGTTATTTTCACAGTTTCCCTCCATGTTTTGCTGTCACAGTGGTGAAAACATTGTTTTTCTATGTCCTAATTATGATGTGTGGAAATAAAGCAAAGCTCAATCCATTTAAGTAAAGTTATGCTGGTTTCCTGCGTGCTGCCCCCATGCCAAAAAATGTGTGATGGAAATGTTCCAACCAGTGTATACATCCCGGTCGATAATGTCACATCAGTCGCACATGCACGCAACCCTACAGCTGTAGGTCGAAGAAAAAAAGAAGTTTTTCTAGAGATTAATTCACAGACCGTGGTCTCTTGTCTGTATGTATTCTCTGTGTTCAGGAATTTAATTTGAGGTAGTTTTGCTCATACTTGAAGCGAACATGTTTCCTGCCGCGGCACAAGGTTTATCGCTTGTCCGTTTGGTTGCATCATGGATGCATACTTTGTGTGACAATTTTTTGAAGCTTTCGTCCTCATTCATGGCATCCAATCAGCACAGAAAAATTGACCCCCACCCAAAAAAAATTTCCAACCTAGTGACCCAATTTTTGAGAAGTATGTAATCGAAAGCAGAACAACATGTATTATTTTTTTGGCCTAATATGACTTTACCTAAAATACATGTAGCTCCTGAGTTCAGTGAAACAGCTCCTGAAAACCCCTTAAATTTGCCGTATGTGCAAAATGGAGCTCATTGAATGTGTTTTTGTGAAGTCTCCATGTTTTTGATGAGTAGTCATGGGGCTAAGGATACATACTATGTACAATGTAAGTACATGTATATGGAGGTACCACAGTCCAATACACTGGTGCCACGTTCCCATACGTTGGTCATTGAATGGTTGAAGCCCACAGTTCTGGGTATGCTCATGGATGACAGTCTTCATTTTACATGTTTTACATGATGACTTAGTTGATCAGCATTCCTTGAGTTCCGTACATTTAATTAGTTCTTTACGCTTTGGCATTTTGAATGCAGCCCAGCAAAAACCCTCCGTTACTTTTGGCATGTTTGGCTTTTGGACAAAAGCCAGAGCTTTTTTTTTGGCTCTCATTACAAGACAATCCACACATCTGCACGTGGCCATTTGTGCGGTCAGGCAATAAACTTCATTCTTTCAGTGCAGTGGAGAGTGACTCCTTGCTGTAAGGATTGAAGTTGAATAAAGTGGAGAAGCAATAGTCTAATTACTCTGTAGTTAAGCCTATGAAATTTCAGGACACAGCAAGCAATTTACCACAGGAAAATATAAAGGAGAGAAGTGCATTGTTTGAATTCTGTCTGCAAAACTAAAGTTTGTTTGGAAACAGATTCAGAAAAGTAACGGCTCAAACAAAAGGATCAAAATGGAAGATACATGTACATGTAACACGTACATTGTACATATAGGCCTACGAGAATCCATAGAAGACAACAGGGGAAACATTGATGAAAATTGAAGGGAATGATGGCTTAGGCGAAGTGGAAATAGGGCAAAGTGGCTGCGGGCTGTGTAGGGATGGGGCGAAGTGGGAGAGGGGCTAAGTGGCAATGGGTGATGGGGCGAACTAGTTTGGGGCAAAGTGACATGGGGCAAAGTGGAAATGGGGCAAAGTGACCGACACCCCTTGCACATGTACATGTAGTTAGCCTGTAGTGTTAGGCCTTAGGCTGTTGCATGATTCACATTGGTTAGTGAATGAGTTGAATAGCAATGGTAAGAACGTTTGTCCTGGTTGAAGATCTTTCCCACAAGCCTTCACCTCATGGAATTGAACATCATGAAATTAGTATTTCCAGTGGATGAATGTGAAATATTCATTGTTTGTTTCACACCGTGCAAGAAATCTCTAAGTGTGTGTACAAGTTGCTATGTTACTTTGTACGTGTAAGTCTGAAGTAAAAAGGCAACACACAGTTTTCACATTCCATCTCAGTTCATGCATAACCCTAACAGTCCTAAATCCTCTGATTTCAGTATGATTTACAAGCAATCCTCTGTTACCGGTGTTTTGCGTTTCTGTATCATTCAAAATTCTGTGTGTTTATGTGAAGAGCCGTCAACAAGCCTATCATGTGTACGCGTACATGTATGTATGTATACTGTGTAACATTAGGGACATTCGAAATGATATCCTGTGTGTGGGATAGCAGGCTTACATACAGTACATATGTACATGATATACTGTATGTACATTGCACAATTGTTGCCTGCAATGTACATGTACTCATGCAGGGGTCCATGGTGTTTGTACATGAACACCTGAGGGGGCAAATGGCACTAGAGGTAAAGCCAAGGGTGCCATTTGCCCCCAAAGGTGTACAAAACCCATGGACCCTGTCACTGCAGGCAACAATTGTTTTGTTATACACCATGGTCATAGATTTCACTGGAACGCTCTTATACATGTACATGTATTTATGCATATATTTTATTGTAAGATAATTGACCATTTGAAACATGTGAACAATGAGCTACATATAAATTTCCAGGAAAATTATCGATTGTGATGAAATTGTTGACCGATGTTTTTATTTTGAATGGGGGGGGGAGAAATCTAGGATTTATAACAAACTTGTTTAACAGAGAAACGTGTGATTCATAAAGGATTGGGGGTTTTGTCACGTGGTTGAATTTCAAGACATTATTTACACCTTGGCAAGATCTGTTAAAAAGTATTGACAAGATTGAAGAGCAGACAAAAAGATACAATGACATGAGCATTTTATATAAACAGCAATGACAATCGCAGCAGAAGCAGTGATCAGAGCATACATGTGTACTTGCGTTCCACGAGCGAAGTGGTACCACCGAGGCTATCCACCTACGTACCCAAGGTTACACAATTACAGTGCAGTAGACGAGACACATACATGTAGACTCTGGGAAATATCAACATGATCCATCATTTTTTGTGGCCCGGCAATATTGCCAGTGCGTGCGACATGTGTATGATACATGCGCTTGTAACATATCACGTGATCAGTTCGCGACCTATAAAAATTCACCATCTGTGACCGTGGTATAACACTAACATATATGTGGCAGATCCTACCCACTGTAATCGATATCCAGATTCACATTAATAGGCTTCCATATACGCAAGTAGGTTTTGGATATGACGGCACCAATAGGTGATATACTGTAATCAACCAGTATTTCCTGAGCTGCATCAGTATCCTGCATCCGCACCATTTCTAATGGTCTCTACTCTTTCTGTGTGCGAAGAGCCATGATCATCCTGATTGACTGACAACACCCAACATGTCTAACATGACAACTTCCCTCAACTAGGACTCTCAAAATTGAAACAAATTTTACATTTTCCAGCAATGTTTTCCACAGAATGACTTCTCAATCCTTCCTTCTTCCTGAGGTATGTAGTTTATTGATTGGCTTGAGTGAAATAATAATGTAGAGGTGTCCTACCCCTAGCTTTGGAACTATATGTACATGTACATGCAGGCCAATAGAATACTGAAGTGAATATATGTACATCACACAAACAATTACATGTACATGTATGTGTAAAAGGCATTAGTGAGAGAACCAGCATTTGAACCAAAGATCGTATAGCGACGAAGGCGCAAGATGGATAACTCTGTCCAAAGGATGTAATTACCATGGGCGCCATTTGAGCAAGCGATACACCTGCGCAGTTTATAGTAATGTTTCAGCGCAGGCTCACCAGGTACACATGCCTGCCGCGGCGCCTGCACCTTTGCATTACTGTGCATTGCGCAGGTGTATCGCTTGCTCAAATGGCGCCCATGCAATTACAACGTTTTACGTGTATTCACTGTGAAGTTCGCCATCTTGTGCCGCTTCGCGGCGCTATACGATCTTTGGTTTGAACTATGCGCGTTTGCTCCGTTAGTTTGTATGGCATTTGGTTGTACATGATGTCACACTTCAGTACTCTGTACATACATGCACCGGTACATATACGTAAACTTAAAGATCAATCATATTGGTAGAATTAATTATAATGTAAAAAATAAATACAGATTGCTACTGACATAAAAAGCCTGAGTTGAAGTCTTCCTTCATACCAGGTAAACTGAAAACAAGTCATTGGGGGCATCCAATAGAAGCCTGGTTTGATGATATTACACTATGGCTCAGTAGTTATATGACTGTTTCATTATTTCTAGGCAAACAGGCTTTGTGTGTGAGTGCTGGCTTGCTTGCACTTAACTGTGAATTAACAGAGGTTGGACAATGAGAGTGACTTTTCCATTGACAATGTTGATGAATACTGGATGGTATGATAAGTTGAACCCTCACAAATTGAACCAGAGTGAGGTCCTGATGAATGCAGGCAGATGGTCACAGTCATTTGCCGAGAATAACATCTAACTTTACCCACATTTAGGAATGTGCATAGAGAAGCTGCCACATTAGTCATGATATGGGTAAAAATGACCAATTCGCTGTTAAATTACCATTTCATGTCGAAGCTACATGTATGTGATTGATCTTCAATAGAAGTTTAATGACAAGCCAAAAACATGTACAAATGTACATGTAAGGGTACATACACGAATGTGAAATATTTATGACATTCAAAAACAATGATATGTTCCAAGGAGGACATGAAGAACACAGGGCACATTGATATGACAAAAGGCAGGTTTGGCGGCAAAACATGAACAAGTTTTTATTTCAGGATTCATATCAGAGTATGTACATGTACGGTAATGATTATGCAAAAGACGGTAAAAAGAATCTTTTGTTAACATACATGCGTCTGTCATTTTTATTGAAACATCTTATAGTTGATGGCAGCATCCCATGTGAAGTTCCAGCTTACTGACTTGAGTTGCTGCTACTTCTGCATTTTCCTTGGAAGTGATTTTCATCAAAGGGAGCAATGGCAGATAAGATGGAGTTTGATTTTGATAATCCGAGCAAGGTAAGGAAAATTTCTGGTATACTGGTACATGTTTTAATAAAAGAAGGGAAGATTACTCAGTACATGTACGTGTACCAGTACATGTATGCATACATGTACATTTACCCCCAATGCCTGGCATATAACCTAGGGTACAGAACTCAGTACTACAAAATACTACGTAGTAGTCTGAGCCTGAAGGACCTAGTGCTACAGATTACTACTTCTGGCTAGGTTACTTCCATTTTTACTTGTACAGAGAACAATGAAGTATTTACAGTGCCACAGCATTGTATGGCACTTGGTACATTGTCTTATCTTTTGTATTGTATGGCTGCAGAGAACAGTAAGGTCATGTACTCATATACATGTAAGGCACAGTACTGTATGCTACATTTTACTACTATAGTACATGTAAGTAGTATTTTGTAACTTTCATTGAGGTTAGGGTTGAACGGATTGTTGATAACTTTATTTTTACCAGGTTAGATGTACTGCCAGTGTGTTCTTCATGTACATGTAAAATGTTCCTATGCTTGTGCCATGCATTATGTACGGTCTGGAAACTTCTGTCACATGTACATGATAAACATGTACATGTACGTACATCAATGTACAAAAATTAGCATGCATTTGGGCATTATGCATGTAAATTCAGTAAAATAACTAATAGCTGTACATGTAAATTTATAAAATAAGAATGTTCAATAATCATGGAATAACTGAAGGGAACCTTTCAGAATGGTCGGATTTTATTATCATGTTGATATGAAAGGGACAACTGCCACTGCTACTAAGTTGCCTTATAATCAAGTATTCATAAACTCTCATTAACCTCATTATACAGATCATGAATGCAAGAATGTAAGAATGTGTGAATACTGAACAACATGGTTCAAAAGGAATAGTTTGCACTTGTGCAGACTGAAACCACATGGGATTCTGTATGAACATGTACTTTTGAATTGAATTACACGTACAATGTACTGTACATGTACATGTGAGAATGACAAAAATGAAAAAAACGTAAGATGGGTGCAGCTGTTTGTCGAGACAGATGGGGAAAGGTACTCTCAATGGTGAAAACTTTGCAAAAATTGATTTTATCTTAAATGTTCATGCACATTTACATGTACATGTACACACTTGTATGATGTACTGGATTTCATGTTCATGTACTGGTATTCAAGGTTTTCTATTTTACTTTAGGATGGTCAACAGTTTCAAGGTGCTGAGGATCAAAACACTAACCCACAAAGTTTGGTAAGATTGACGTGTGGTGTGTGCTGTGCCAGAAGGAAATTATGTGGCATTGTGACAAACTTGGACTTTTGCTTTGAGTTGTTCAGTGACATGTACATGTGTACTGGCATTTATGTTGGCTTTCCTCTTTGTCCATGTGCAGATAGTAGTTCTTACAGAACTGTGTCTCAGATGCGTGTATTTTCATAGTTGTATCAGCTGTCTCAACCCAGCCTATACTCGCTAAATTTTGAGAACTTTGCTCAAATTTGCTTAAACCACTTGCTTGTACCTTGGGTTTGTACACATAGCTGGGTTACCTGAAATTTAATAAAAGAGCTGGGCCTTGTAACAAAAGACCGTACTTGGAACAAAAGACCGAGTTGCTGGGAATTGCCAATATTTTTTCGTTTGTCAATAGCGGAGAAAATCCGTCATTGTTTGGAAGGATTATACATGTACCACTGTTTGTGGCATTCAGCGTGAGCGGTGAGCGGATTACCACTGGGGACAAATCCCTCCAGCACTCCAGTGATGAGCGATACAATATGGCTGTATGCTAATCTAGCCTGTATTGAAAAGACGCCAGCTGTGCACTGTGCCAGTTTTGGGAACAAAAGAAACTTATGTAACACCACACAATCTGGGCTCTTTTTACAAGGTGGCAGGCCTGGCTGAAATACTCGGACATCTATAGATGTTGTCTGCCAGATTAGAGTAGCAACCAGACAGTCACTCAATGGGATTTAGGCATTCAGGAAAAAAAGATATGAATTTTTGGAGATTTTTGAAAACCAGAAATATTGAAAGATTGCCCGGTTTTAGGTACTGTATTTCCAAAGGCACCCAGCAGCAAGTGGTTAAACATTTTTCCACAGAGTGATAGCACCCACACTTCAAAGCCCTTTGATTAGTGCACTTCAAAGTACTATGATTAATTCTTAGTTAACCACTTTTTCATGTTTGTCACATCAATTTTCTCTGCGCTGGCTCTCTGCAAAGCAGTTAGTAACTCTTCAAGTTAACCCTTTTCATGAGAAAGTACATGTAGGTTTGACCCTTGCATGTGTGGACATCACTGTGTTCAGTTAAACCCTATTTTTTTAGAGTTATACGCCAAGAATGTACAGGTACAGGATTTTTCCACTTGTAGACCTGTGCCAAATCCCCCAGTACTGATGTTTAGGGAAAAATGGTGTTTTGAAACCTTCATCTTAAAGAGGAACTTGGATGGTCAGTAATTAAAATCTTATGATCACCCCCCTGATGATATGGCATGTTCTTCGTAAAATGGACCAAAATGCAACTCTACATGTCATTTTTTAAAACTTATAAAAGAGTGGCTTTGATCATGTCAATACAAATTAGCGCTTTCAGATAAAATTTGGGGATAATTAGACATACTGTGTACATTTGTTGGACATTTGGTTGGCTACCAGTGCAAATCAAATGGAGGTGAATTCATTTAAAGTTTTGCTTTAAAGTGTTTGCACCAGAGGACTTGATTTCAAAACCGCTCTCAACAACAAGGAGAATTCAGTATATTTTTCAACTGATGTATTTTAAATAACCTAAGAAATAACTTAAAACAAATATAAGCCATGGAAAAAAAGAGCACAAAATTGACGGAAAATGATGAGAAAAGTTTAGCTCTCTTCATGCTCTTACAGTTTACAATCACTCTCACTATACCAGCATATCTGCTGGGTCTTGTACACGTACATGTACCTTCAACCACTGAAAATAATCTTTAAGTTTGGCTGCATCAAAAATGTACATGTACAATGAGTACAATAGGTTCGTTGTGAACGTCATATTTGACAAAATTTTGATGATGCTTGAGAATTTTGACCAAAAATGCATCACGTTCGAGAATGCTGAAAACGCTGCCACATGTAGTGCTTGAAAATTCCATGCGCTACGTTCATTTTGCTGCTTATTTTGGAGATATCCCCACTGAAAATTAAATTAAAATCAACAGCTCTGAGCATTAGATTTTCATCTTGAATCGTATTTTATGTCCCGGACGTCATTTAGTATGTTAGATTGTCTTTCAAGAAACCTTGGTGCGAAGAGAAAATTTGCCATTAAATGGAGGGACTCATGAATATTGAATGAAAAAGTGGACACACTATCTGGGTTGATGTCAGAGGTCAAACAGCCCATGATGCAGCAAAACATTTCTCTAACATCACCGCAAGATAATGATGGAAGCCGCAAAATCGTCATGATTGGTATTTTGGACTGTGGTTCGCAGAAACAAACTTGAAGAAAATTTCTGGGCCCAATTAATTGTGAGAGGTATATTTTAATTTAGTGATTATGGTTTTAATATGTGTAAATATTATCAACTTTCACCGCATAAAAATCTGTAAAATAACCTTGGGGATTATCGCTCCTTGGTAAATTTTATTGGCTAAGATTTCAACAGGTTGTTCACATACGTCAAAAATGCTGATGTTCGAGACTTTCATTAACTCCAATTAAGTTGAACGATTGGCACAGTCGTCATTGTTCCAGATATCAGCCATGACTTTCCTCATTACTTCAGACATTGGGAATTAATTCACAGTTGTTCACTTCAGGAAAAATGAACCCCCAAAGTTGAACATTATCTAATGGTCCATATTTTGAGGAACCTGCCATATCATTGGTCATCCCTTACACACTGTACATGTACATACATGTATGTACAATGTACAGTATGTTTACCATTGGGCGTGTCTTGATGTCATTGTACCATACTTACATTGAAGATGTCCAGGTAGGTAGATATATACATGTGTGACTTAAAAATGCAAAAACTTCCCTGATTCAATTCACAAATGGGAGTACATGTAGGGAGGCATGTGTGTAGTTTTAAAGGAAACATCCACAAAAACAAATAGAGTTGGGAGCTTAAATTTGTTGTTTGTGCGTACATATGTGTTACCCGGCAATTTGTTTTTTGAGAAGTATTGTCATAATGTTTTTCTTCTTCCTCCGCTTCTTTCCTAATCTTCTTTTCAACATTTTCTAATATTTGCATAATCATATTTTATTTCCGAATATATGCGTTTGTGATCTGTTATCGCTTTACCATGTAGAGTACAAAAATATCTAAAGCTGTGATGTTGCAAAAAAACCAGGTTTCTGGAGGTCATGGCTTGCGAAGCTCCTTGTAACTGCCAGGTTAAAACTGAAACTGAAACTGTAAATTGGGTTTGTGCCGCAAATTGCACACTCTATCTGGAGTCATCGTTCTTTGAATATCAAGGGGCTGGTCTGGTCATGTAGGCCTATTGCTGACTATTTGCTATTGAGTCGTACTACGCAAACTGTGTCTTATTGTCTCCTCAGTTTCTCCTTTCCTCATTTTAGTCGCCAAATAACTACTCACTGTGAGCTACCTTATGATACCCCCTTTATCATAACTTCTTAGTCAAGCTACACTAAAATGGCATTTTGGCCAGAGCATTTGCGACTAAAATTAATCCAATCCTTTGTCATGTTTGTATTTCTCAGTGTAAGCTTATGATAAGAACCACTGTGCATAACTCCATTAAGCACTTAAAGGCTGTCTACCAACAACGCAGGGCCAGTTATCTTTTGAAAATGCCCGTGCACTCATTTCTCGTATATCCATCATTATAATTGTTCAGTCGTGAAACCATAAAACACTAATCCACATACGTGTACATGTATGTGTGTCAGTGTTTTCAAAAGATTTTGCAAATCAAACCACTGACTATCTTCATGGAAGTATTGCACTGAGGCTTTCCCACAGGTCTACATGAAAGTCTTCCCACTCCAGTGGGCTCCAAACCGGTCCAACAGAGACCTTATTTGCCCTGAACTTTTCCTGCCATTTTTCCTAAATCTATCCTTCTTGGATTAGAGGAGCACTATCAGGGTAATCCTGACGGGGTCCTTCACTTCGGGTGATATTTTATACATAACATGAATTATCCTCACACAGCATGAATCATCTTTACATAACTAGTCATTAAACAGGGTCATCTCATAACAAAGTGAAACATGGAAAATGTATTTATGTCGTCTTTGATAGATCTGCTGTGCTGCCCAGCACAACTTGTCGAACCCTGTTGGGCCACGAAAGGCCTGCACACATAGGACTGCTACAGTCGATTTTGATACTTCTCTTTGCTTATTAAACTTCCTCTCCCACAAGGAAGCTTCCGCGACGAATGTAATCTGGGGCTTGGGTGGTGGGTTCCTATATGCTGGGGGGTTTATATCAGCCATGCCTCCAGTCTGGTATTTGATAAAAGAACAAACATTCACATGGACATACACAGAGTCAATATTCACCGAAATTCAAGGTTGTATTTATTGGGCCGCTGACAGTGCTGCACCCACCAATCTTAGCAGCCGCTCCCCTCGCAGAAGGTAAGTAGCGAGCCAAATGAATGAAACCTAAAGAATATTCTCTTGTAAATACTGAAATGCCCCAAGGAGTTGGAAGGAGATCTAACCATGGTCTAAATACCTTGCTCCCTGGGCGTTGGCATTCAAAGACCAAAATGGGGTTTGGATATCTCCTACCTGTTCTCTCTGCATTTAAATAAACCCCCCTCTTGCACCAACTCTACCTCCACCACAGTGGCAGAATGAAACATTTTAACCTCATCCACGGTGCGTTTCCCTAGCGTTTTCACTTAAAATTTAGCAGGATCATGGAAACGGCATGTGCACACCTGGAGCGAACATGAAACATGTGCGACCGTGGAACAACCCAATTTTGACTGACAGACCTCGAGTAGCCACAGAAAGATTCTTTTCTACCATTTGACAGTTTTTCGTGTGAATTGCCCATTGTAAGAAACACACTGGTCAATGCGGTCACAGCCATTCATCGAAAAGTTGTAACTGTTTACAACTTGCGGCATGTCAACTTCACCGTTCTTTCTTCTTACCTTGACATTTCCCTCAGTTGCTTTCATTGACATGAGGATACGAGATTTTGCAAGCTTTTTTGTCTCTCCACACAACACACAAGATTTCGTTGTCTTCACTCCGGAAAGATTGTGACTCGCGGTGCTGAAGTTTCAGTGTTTTCAGTTCAGGGGGGAAGTTCTTTCAGTTGACATGTAGAGTTCCAGTATAATACATTTTCTTGGAGTTTAGAAATTCAATGAGGCTGTAGCTTGTGTAGTACCGATCTGCGAATACATGGTGGCCTTTTCCAAGGTTCTTCAATAGGTACTGAAAACGTTTTCTGACTGTCCAGTTGTAGCATCTTGGTCAAAGGATGTTTCTTTCCCAAAGTAAACAAGGAGATTGTACAGGTACCCAGTTGAACTGTCACATAGGTCAAAGGTCTTTATACAATTCTTTCACGGCTTTGATGGGTTGAATTGCTTATACTTCCATCTCCCCTTCCAGCCAACCACCATCTCATCAATACAAACATTGGTGAATGAGTAGAAAGCAGACTGGAACCTTTCGACAAGAGTGTTCACAAAGGGTTCGATCTTGTCCTTTGATTTAGCATCAATGGCAGAAGCATGCAACATAAAGTGACAAATGGCCTCAAATCTATCCCTGGCAAACATCTGACCGAACCATGGATTGTAGCTGACAGGAGATCGTGACCAATGGTCCTTTAGGACTGGCTGCTTGTTCAAGCCCATTGCTATTAGAATGGCACTGAACCCACAGATGTCGGCTTCCAGTTACCAAAGATGGATCTCCGACACGGAGGATTGTTCATCTGTATTCGGTGTGTTGCATAGTCATTGATCATATCACTGATACTTTGCAGAACAGTACGAGACAGGAGAGCATAGAGACAATCTAACGGGGTTGAACTGCCATCTGAGGCTGCATTGACAGTGTGTTTCATTTGGAATGAAGGGGAATGCCTGCCCAGCCTCATCATCTTTTGCTTTGGTTATTTTTTTCCATTTCATTCTTGCCTCAGTGTCAGTATCGTCCCTGGAAGGCTTCTGGGATTGGACTCGCTGTTGTTTGTGCAAGTGTTTGCATGGTGCACCGCCATGAGAATTATCATCAGATACAAGTCCAGAATTTTCACTAAATGAACTTGACTAGCTGGTTTCCTTACTGTATTCAGATTCTTCATTTCCTTCATCAGAACTGTCTTCATCTGATAACCTTCATCTGAAATTTTGATGCAGAGGTTGATGATTCCATTGAACCGCCCATGATGTAAATGTTATCTCTGTGGGTACTTTACTTCAGGATATATGTACTTGTGGTTGGTGTTAAGAATATGGGAAGTGAGTTGTGAGAACATTCAAGAACTTGTAGAATGTATTCCAGACTATTCAGGGAAAAGGATGGTTTCTGGGCTTGCTCAATTTAAATCAGGTCAATTACGTACATGAATGTACCTTTGTACATTTAAAAATAAATGAATTTATCTTTACTGATGGTTCATTAGGGGTTTAAAGTGTGTAAAGTGTTACAACCTGCCGTTTTCACTTTAAATGAACCTTATTTTGTATCTTAAGTTTTACACATCCTCATTATTATCACTAAGTTTGATTTGGACTGGCACAGCCAAAATAGCCTCAAGTGTTTAAAAGTTATGTTTGTACATGTACATGTATGTGTACGCTAAAACTTTCTAACATTTCTTGTTTATTTGTTCAATTTCGTCACTGTCAATGAGCAAGTTCTTGTCAATGTTTGAACCAAACCAATCCTCTTTGTAGCTCTCAGTGATACACTCTTTGTGTAACTGGCATGAAATTAATTGATGTCTGGAATAGAAAAAAGGTATTTGGTGATATATGACAAAACTTATTCACAGAAAGTAAAAACTTGCGATTTGTAACTCAAAGAGTTATAACTTTACATGTAATTTGACTATTGCATTATAAAAAGGCACATGCCATATTTTGTAAAGCTTGATTTTAAAACTTAAGAAACTGATTTTTGTTCCATCACAAAGAAAAAAATTAATAAATTCTTCTGTGAGATACAATTTACTTTGACATGCTACTAAGGAGATTTACACATGTACATGTATAAGCAACAGACTACATGTAGCTGCCACAGTATTGAGCAATCCAATATACACATGCGTCCAACTTGTAAAAAGGATTCCAGGTTTGTTGCTGTATAATACATTGTACTCAAGGTCAAATTGGTAACTGGAATCATTGATCTTGGTCTCCCCTTTAGGCTTGTTTGATATCTTTTAAAGAGGTCAAAGGCCAAGTTTGCAAAAGCTCATGGAATCACTTAGCAGCACGGTTTCTCCATAAAAACCTAAACAAATTTGGAGTCAACCTGAAACTGTTTAGCGATCCCCCAAATCCTGTTGATAATTTTACGTCGTATCTGCTTTGGTTTTGTTTTGATTTTTTCAATACATGTTCAGTGCACAGTGCAAATTACCGTATGCACAAATTCTTATCAATCTTCTGAAATTAATCTTTGAACAGTAGAGTTCAAAGAACACAAAATGCTAAAGATTAACAAAATTCTTGATTCGTAGACAACTCGTAGAGTTTTAAGTTCTGTTAAATGTATACATGTCATGCGTGTACATATCGGAACATGTTTTCATAAAATCCATAACCGATCTTGGCATGTTACAAAATGGCTTGCCTCGGTCTGCTTTATATTACATGAGTTTGAATGGTAGAGATGATTTAGGACACAGGTGGAACTGGCAAAGGCTCATGAATGTACACGTAAGTCATTACTTCATTGCCACTTTTATGCTGTTTTGTATTGTGTTTTGAGTTGCTTATCTCCCTGTAAAGTGTACTTGTATGAATATATCCATATACATACGTACATGTACATGTATGTTTATTCAGCATGAAATCGTAAGCTTTTTTGAATGATCCTTAGTTTAATGTCGCAGACACATACATGTACATCCATAGGCACATACCTGGAAATGAAAACAAAATTCAACTTGCAAAATTAAAGAGTCAAAAGAGAGTCATAAATACCTGAGACAGATAAGGCCAAGAAAGTGTCTGGTTTCTGGTCAGGAGCTGGCTCCTAAAGTGGTTTGGCGACACTTTTTTTTTTTAACCTCACTTTTTTTTCCTCTCTAAACGATGTACATGTAGGTATAACACACGATGTCCATTGTGACTGCATGCGCATTTAACGCTGGCCTCGACCAACACTAAAATAGACTAGCCCCAGCCTTTTTTACTGTTTAAAAGCATTTTCAGCTTGTACATGTACACAGGGCATAAGACCATCTTTTTTGGTTCCCAGATGCAAATGTATAATATAGAAATGATGTCATCTGAAAGAGTGCCTGACTAAATGTATCCCCATACATTTACATGTACTCTAGAGGGGCTCCTTTACTGTACACGTTAAAAAATGTTATGTAAATTACACTGTGGTAAGATTCCAGTCGATTAAGCAAGTTTGGCAGCTGTTGGACATAGGGCCTACTAAATAAAAACTTTTTCATTTTGCCAATGCGCAGGTCTACGGTGATGTTTGCACTCACCAGCTAGAAACTGGAGACTTTTTTGGGGGGCCTGTACCGATAACAATACGATATAAAAGCACTGTCTTTCCAATATGATGGGTACAGCTACATGTATGTATGTACTGTGTGTTACCAGTGTACTAGGTACCGGTAGTGTGCATGTTCACACCTGGATTATATACATGTAGTACATAATAAAATGTAAGCTTAATGCCTTATTGTTGATGCATGATGCATACTTGTACATGTACATGTATAAACATTGGTAGAGGCTATTCAAGTTCATTTCCATTACACTTTGTACAGTGTATGGGTACATATACGTGCACTTGTGCACAAGTACATGTACATTTGAAGTAATACCCCTAACACTCCTCAGTCCTCCAATAGGTGAAGGATTGAGGAGTGTTAGGGTTAAACGACATTAAAGTTACAGTACAGTAGTTGCAGTTGAATGCATTTTGGAGATGATTTTGTGGCTGTTTGAAGACATGCACAGGTACATAGACAACATACTGCCACATGTATTGACTTGACTCATCGTGAGATGGCTAAATTTATACTGGATATGTTGTGTCATGTTTACAGGATTTGAGTTCATTTGCGATGCCTTTCCTTGAAAGTGAAGAACAAATGGAAGAACCAGAAGGGGAGAAGAAACCACTTGTCAGTAGTTCTGGAAGTCACAGTGGATCTTCATCTCCACAGAGCCCACTGGAGTCCAGAAGATACACTTTCCCTTCTAAACCTGTAAGTGAACTGGTGGTGCATATGCATATGTGGTGTATGGTATACACATGTACTTTATGTATGCATACATTAATCGTTCTGTTGTGTGTACAGCTCTGCTTTTTGTCAGACGTTAGGATTAATAAGATCAATTGATTACATTATGCAGGGCTTGAAACTGTCAAAAAAATTGCATGTTGTGCAAGTTGACATTTGAAACAGCTTATGCAAACCAAATGTAGCTAATTTTTGTAACACATTGTATGCACGTACATGTACTGGTACGTATATGTACATGCATTGGCGGTGGTAGATCTAGGCCCACCGATACATGTACCTCTGTCTTAAGGAATTTATCCAAAGAAATGAGCTCTGAATTTCAGAAGTTCAGAAGACGATATGCCTACTGTTGAACTGCATAATTACATGTAACATAAAGACGTAAGGGTAATTCCAGAAATTCTGGGTCCAAAAGTGTGACATTTTGTGTCCCTGTTACATCTGACCTTTGTTATTTGACATGGAAATATCACTGGAATTGATTTTAGACTTTTATTATTTGTTTTGCTGGTAATTTGCATTAATTCATTACTCTTGTAAATTAGAAAACACATTCTAAACTTACAAAATCACACACAAAAAATGGACCCCAATTTCTGGAATTACCCGTAAATGATGTACATGTAGTCTATGAATGCACTGTTCCCTTACTTTCTTTAATGGCGTAAACTTTAATGTGAAAGTAGTGCAGGTGAAAAAAGAACACGTCATGCATTACCTTAGACAATGTGGGGATGGGAACTGAGTCTGTTATACTAGTGTGAACATTGATAGAATTCCATGGTAACCCATGCACAAAATGTGGGAACTGGTACGATACCATGCAAAAAACTGACTAAATGAGGGCAACGATTGCTCTCGAACTTCCCGAAGCTCTTCTGTCTTGAGCGCGTGCACGTGCTATCGGCAGAATGGCGTCTTATGGTGAGTGTGATATGCGGATATATTGTCCTGTCGGGATCTTTCTGGGCCAGTGAACAGTACAGTATCCAAGACAGAGGCGTGACAATGCAATCTGTTCCTGGTATATATTAACATTTGTTGGACATGTACATTATTATGTATTCCTTCACATGTACTTGTACGTTAGGGAACATGTTTACCTGTACACAGTGTACTGTACATTCAAACTGGTTTCAGATAAAAAGAAGATGGAATAGTGGTCCTACTGCTCAGACATCCAGCTTGCCAGGCAAAGTGATGTACACAAGTCCCCAGTCACGTACAGGTGAGCTCATTACACTAGACATGTGAACGAGTCAACATACGTGTAGTATTTTCACATATGGTTAATGTCACATCGTACATACATGTATATACACATACATCTGTGCCCAGAGTTCAACTTTAACCAAAGGACCCTGGTTATGATATGTATGTTAAAATGGGTTTGTCCTTGTTCCTGCTCAGAGTGGATAGTGGACGGAACAGATAACAAACACCCCTTCTGCCACTGGAAATTTATGTTCATGTACAACAGCCAGACATTGTTGGGTGGAAACTGCAAAAACCTTCTATCCACTATAACCTATATTTCCACAGCATGCAGTGACTAGTGACCAGTTCTACACTCCTGAGTTTGTTGGTCAAGAATGCTTAACTGATATAAACTATTCAGCAAGATTCAGTGCTCCTCTCTGAAAACCTTAGACATAATACATGGACTTTTGGCAGTTAAAAGTGACAAAGTAACTTTCAAATAGAAGACACAGTATGAACTGAATAAGGTCTAATTGCTTGGCCAACCCTAACAATAATTTTTTTTGTGGGCAGACTGTCTGGTTTCTGAAGCTCATATACATGAAGTTTAATAGTTATAAAAATCATCCAATTAAATAAGGAGTTATGTCTTACATGTGCAATACAAAGATGTGCATTATAGGTAACAAATCTTTCCAATCAAAACCCAGCTGATCTGTGGTTGCAAGAAATGAATTAAAAGACTTTTTTTCCATTTTAAGAACATTAATCATTCATGATGAACTGCATGTTGTCTGAAAGATTGCAAAGTTTACATGTATTTATAAATAAAAATTAAATTTTGGAGACAGCTTGTTGATGTTCCTAACCTGCCTTTGACCCCTGTGAATTTACATGTACATTGCAAAGTTATGTTTTCATGTCTTCCATGAAAGTGTCTGTGAAAATTCATTTCATCTTTGTATGCCTTCAGGGGTGAACTGCAGTTTTATTTTCCTTTGGCTAGAGAATGCCTGTTTTTGTGATGTTTGGAAAACTGTCTCGACCACATCGTTTTTTGCAGTAAAACAAGTGATTGCAAAGTTTCATTTTGTCAGAGACTACATGTACATGTACATTTGTATACACTTTGTAAATCAAAATGATCTCATTGTTAAGGCCTGAGAAGAATGTACACATGGTTCTGTTTCAATCCAGTAGCTGACCAACTAAGCATTGACTGTTGATATATCAGTATATCGATATTATCGATTTGGGTTTGATATATTGATATCACCATTGTTAGTTACTTGGTAATATCGATATATCAAAAATAACAGATTTTCGAGAAATATCGGAAAATATCGAAACTTTGTAAACATTGTTATTGAAAAATATACCAAAAATATCGCTACTCGTGAACAAATTTTATTAAAAAGTACAAAAGTGCATTGTCACATTACCCTAATTTTCGATAAGCCACGGCTTACGCAGGTTCTCACGTTAATGTCGTTTACCTTTTACCCACATAACTGTGCGTGTGACATATTCACTTCTGTACTCTGTATTGTCACCATGGACCTAGCTTAAGTACAACCACACAGAATGTTGGCATTACTGGGCACAGTGCACTTACATGCAGCTAACTTTTATGTAGTCAAATTTACCTCTTGAGAAAAGACTAGCATAGGGGTTACGGCAATTGATGCATTGACACCAACCCCTATAGAGTGCATGTGCGTGTGTGTTGTATGATTCTATTGCGTCGTCAAAGGTACATGTCTGTACAGTTACGTATACTCTACGTTTACTGTATTGCATGTTTACAAGGTTGAGTTTTTGACAGCTAGTCAGGTACATGTAGCTTGCAATGAGGTAAACTTGCAGTGTAACACACAGTTACTATGTTCTACTCTCTTTATTTTTTCTTACATACATGTACATGTACATGTACCTGTACGTGTAAGCTAATGGTGCACGTAACTTTTTGGAAGTGCACGTAAAGTTTTCAATTGCATGCACTTGTGGTGCACTTGGAATATTTTTTCTAATTTGAAACTAATTGCAGTTGGTATTCTCTATTGACATGAGTCTGCAAACTCCACCCTTATTTGCATAATCATAAATATGCATTGGCACTCTAAAGAAACATCTGTTGCACTATCCGGGACATAATGGTGGAAATAATGAAGTTCACTTTTTGTAGCTGTGACTAGAAAGGTGTACTGTAGGATATAGAGTCCAAAACTGCTCTCACACTTAGATGGCATGAGATCTGTAAGTTGAGGTGAAAATTAAAATGAATAAATATCAATATATCGATAATATCGATATAAAAAAACCTGATATATCGATATTGGCTGAGAGACAATATGGATGGTGCCTATGACCAACATGTGCAAAACATGAAATGGCAACCAGTCTGTAAAAAATGCTCAAGCTGTACTTTCTCTTCTGGCTAATATCCAGTAACATACCATATGATCTGGAGGGGGGTATGTATCCCCCACTTTTTGGAGTGGGAGTGGGCTATTGATTCAACCCCCCACACTTTTGTGGTGAGCAAAATTAAAGCTGGTTGTGAAGAATTTTCAGACTTCAGATGACAAAAATGTATTCAGTATCACTTGAAAAAGGAAAGCAATTGATAACAGGCATAAATATGCCATTCTGAATACATACTACAGATGTACATGTACATCAATATCATGAACATCAACCTTTTTTCAAATTTTCATGGCCAGGCAAGTTATCCCCCCACCTTTCCCGATCCTTCCTAATTTCCAGCACAAATTTATGGCACTGGTGGTGATGCATGTTATCCTTGGAAGGAAATTGACTCCATACAGATACATACATTGTGCTATCAAAAGATGTGTTTTTTCTGGATATATAACGGTAGCACATGATTTCACTCGGCACACAAAGAAATGTATTGTTTTTTTCTGTGCCATTAAGTTCTCTCATCTGTTTTTTTTTGCAAATTGAAAAGGGACAATATTAGAAATCACACGAGTGCTCAGCCTTTGTGCGTAAACATGCCACCTTTGAATTTTCAGTAAATTTTGAAGTTGTGCTTTTTACTTTTAGTGTAAAAACAGCACAGTGCATTGAGTTAGAACAGCACAGTACGCAGGGTTTACCATGGACCATGAAACACAGTTACATGTATACGTCGCATTGTTTGTTGCCATTGATCAACCAATCAGAATTGAGAATTCAAGTTTGCCTGAAGATAGCAAGTTGTACATGTGTACCCCACAAGTATAATGTGAGAAATACAGTTCTCATGTTGAAGACAGAAAAGACAAATTGAATTGTTAGTTTACGAGTATGATGGTGTCATTTTTATTGTAATGTTTCTGGTAACTTTCATCAAGTACGTTCTTCAAGGTTTTTAATTGTAGGCTAAAATGTAGTTTGTACAGATTGTCAGAGATGAATGAGGCTACATGTACGTGTATATGAATCAGATATGACTGTGATGTTACAATCACAGTTCTCAAGATACGGAGGTTGAATACTAGAAACAAAGAGGAGTCCAGTTGATAAATTATGATACGGATGTCAATTAAAAGTTGTTTACCACTTCCTGCTGGGTGGAGTTAGCAGCATGCATCACCTACTGCGGGGCGCTTTTTCATTTTTTCCGTTATCAAAATTCTTGGAAATATCATTTCTTCATTTACTGGATTTTTTCTGTTTTCAAAATTCTTCAAAAATTCATATCTTCATTTGCTGGATGCATACACCCAAATAAATGACTGTCTTGAGGTGAGTCTTATCTAACAGGGAAACCCCCTTTGACGTGTGAGTATTGCAGCCATGCCTGTAGCTCAGTAAGGAGCCCCCATTGTGGGGTGTTGCATAATTTCCTCTTTGTTCTGGAACTTGGCACAATGCGCTGCTAGATGGCGGTGGTGTTTGTACTAATGTGGTGAGATTCCACAAGTGCCCAGCGGTATTGTATCGTTCATCGCTGGAGTGCTTTTGTCCCCACTGTCAGTGGCAAACAATGGTACTGTTTCAAAACAATCACGGATTACCAGCAAGCACGCTACAGATGCATGTGAACCGTGACTGGCAAGTCCCAGCAGCTGACTGACAACAAGTAAATTTTTTCTAAAAACGCAGAGCAACTTTATTTTTTTAATAAAGAAAGTTCCAATTTCGGGCACCCCAGCCATGTGTATATGGCCAAGGTCTTTGGTACAGGGCTTCCTGGCATGTAGTGGTTAACAGGCAGATCTTTCAGACAGTGTCATTACCCCCCAGAAAAAAACACAAATACATGTACTACAAAACAAAACAAAAAGCCAACAACAAAATGGAAAATAGAACAGAAAACAAACAGAACATTATGTGAATTAATTTGGTTGTGTTAAAAATAATTTGTAGCTGGGAATTCACCACAAACTTTGGGCTTGGAACGGCTGAAACTGAAGGATTATCAAAAGGAACCCGAAAGACGCACTCCACGAAAGAATCTCCAGAGGCAGTTCTCAGAGGGGGAACATCCAGCAACAGGATTTCACCCGGTAAGCTTTCCAACTAATGAAGTGCTGGATGTTCATTTCTGTGGTAAAATGTGAAAAGTCTGAATCATATTGTACAAAGTGACCTTTGATTGTGTCAAACTGTAACTTATAGATATTCTTGTAAATTTTTAAGTTTGGGGACCATTAGATGAATCTGGCACGGAAATAAACAAATGTACCACATACTCAAAGATTCTGCCAACTTTTTGTGTCCAAGCAACTATAACATTAAATCTCACTTGTACAAATGTCCTAGATGACATACATGTACAGGTAACTGGTATGCCCATGAAAAATACACAACACCTTTAGAACGGCAGTACAAATGCTCACAAAGGTACATGGTACAATGCGAATGAGATGCAAAGACTTCTAAAATTTGCCGCCAGAGATAGATTTTAAGGGCCTGTTAATCTGAAAACTGTATCCTCCTTGCCGTGTTATATATTTTTAGTACTGTTTGCTTTAGAAATGTTTCTTACATGTACAGTCGAACACGCTTAACACAAGCTCAAAGGGACTCCAAAAAACCACGTCTTACGGTAAACCTCGTGTTATATGTGTTGACACTTATCCTATTCATAGAGCACAAGTCTGGCGTAATGCACCAGTAAGCATTGTTAACACTACAGCAGTGTACATGTACTGCAGGCTTACTTGTACCGTACGATACAGTATTATGCAGTGGATTGGTATTCGATGTACAGCCTTTAACTTTTTAATAATTTTAAATCATATTAATAAATGTCCGTGTTTTTGTTTTAGCATACATGTAGCTTGTTTAAAGTAAGTTTTTTCTCATAGGAATATGTACATTTTGAATGGGACTGAAGAAATATGCTCGCTTTAAGCGCGATCTCATCTCAAGTGTGCTCGTGTTAATCGTGTTCGACTGTACATTACAATTGGGGAATGAAATTCTTTTTTTTCCATTCTTGTTTGTCATCCAGTCTTCAGTACACAGATTTCTCAATGTATGTTTGAGTAACGTGATGTAGGAGTGTGTGCATGGAGGGTGGTGTGCATGTGTTGGACTTCATCACATTGAATAGAAATTTCTTTTGTTGGGAAAGTTTGAACTGAGTTGTGGCAAAACTTTGTCCTCACAGTGTTTGGTCCCGGCAAAGTTCATAATGTGTGTAGTTCCCACAATGTACATGTATTTTTTTTTTTGTGTGTACATGTATTAGGATAAAAACAAGATTTCCAAAGGCATTAGTGTTTTAAATTTACAGTATCATTTTAATCTTTGTTTATAGAGGATAAAGTTCAATATCAAGTGAAGAAGTCAGTAGGCCAGGACATAAATGCATGTACAGGTACATGTACATGTGCAGAAAGCTGGCTCATTGTACTGTAGATTTTAATTGCGACAAGGTTTCAAAGGGTCCTGGTTTAAAGGGTCCTTTTGTGATGAATTTTTTTAATAACATTTTGTGCATCTTTATAATCTTTTTCATTGTATGAAAACTGCAGGTTTGTCCCTGATGACATCACATTTTTGCTCATGAATATGAAATTGACATTAGCATGAAAACCAAAAAAGCATCAAAAATCATTTTTGAATAAAAAAAATTAAATACAAGAGTACCTTTTTAGAGCCTTAGTAAACTAATTGCATCACATGGACCCTTATACACAAATTACAGTTAAGCTTGAAGAAAATCTGAAATGATTAACATAATGTGTACATGTAGTACATGCATTACGTGTACGTAACTGAGGCATAAACATCCTTGCAGTACTGCACACAAATATTGGTGGGAGGGGAGATTTTTCAATTTGCAGGGTCTCAAAAGCAGGATGTAGTACATGTACATGTACATATATGTGTGGTATGAATGGTATGTGTGCTGCCCTCTGCAGAAATGTCTTGGTGTGAGCAATACATGTATTGCACGTGTACCGGTATGGTACTGTACGTGATGTGCATACATGTACTGTACTTGAGCATGATGCAGACAGGATTCTTCTAGTTAACACCTGCGTAAGATGTGTGGTTGCAGTTCTCCATAACAGGTAGGTAATACTAAAAAGGTTGATCATGGAGGGAAGTGATGCTGGAGGTGTGGAATTAGGGAAGTTTGTGTTACTGCTTTTATAGCCAACAGATGAAATTGCTTGGGCTATTTTTTATAATAACTTGGATTATTTTTCTGCTTGCTACTGTACATATTGAAAAAGGGGTGGGGTGGAATCATGTTGTTGAGCAATTGACACTAAAAGAACATTTACATGTAGTGGTTTTTTGTTATGTTTTGAATGGTTACCAAAAAGATCTTCATTTCCTTTACTGATTGATTGGTATGGTCATTGCTGTAAATGATGATTACACAAAAGAGGCTGTACAGTATAGTGTTTTGCTTCAAGCCATATGTAAATCACCTGGAGCTTCCTGAATTACACATTACGAAATATGATCATGTAAGGCTAATGAGCCAAACAAGGTGCATTTGAATTTTTGAAACTAGGTTAAATTTACCTGTACATGTATTGTCAAAAAAGACCTAAGATCTTGATATCTAGCATTTTTATTTGTCTTTTGCATGTACACATACATGTACATGTAGGTAAAAGTGCCCCTTACCAGTTTTCCCCTTACCAACTCACAACCTTCATCCTCTCACTCCTCACCAACTTGTCCCACTCGTCAAGCCACTCTCATACATGTGTAGGTTTCTTTACTTGGATAAAAGTGTTTCATCTTTTACCCACTTTAGTAAATCGATGAATGAATGCAGAGAATGCAGACCATAAGGTCAACGAAATGAGTGGAAGAGTTTTTTCTTAAGTCAATAATGTTTGGAAAGAAAGATGAGGGTCAGGTGGAAACACTTTCGTTGTTATTCTGGACCTTGAGTGGAAGATGACATTCCTTCATATTTTGGCAGTTTAAGGCAATAGGTTTGTGTAAAGTAAGAGACAATTCTCTGTGTTTATAAAACAAATATGACAACCTTGGTAAACCCTTTTGCTTCGAACAAAACTGCTGAATTCTGTCAGGTGTTCTGTTGTGTATGTCACCAGAGATAAAATAAAAATAGATTATATGGACAGCTAAAAGAAGTGTCATTATTCAGAAATTTATGTTATCATGCAGGCTATGCAAACAGTGTGTGAGAACTCCCTTCTGTTTTTACTCTACTTTACATAGTTATTTTACGTTTATTTTACATTCTGAATCTGCTTCTTAACTGGTTTGTGTCTGAGTGGTATACCAGTAAATGGTTTGTACATGTATGGAGGATACATGTAAATGGTGTAGGGTCTGAGGGTCAGGTTTGAATCCAGCTGGTGGTTACTTATTGCAACTTACATGTACAGTACAGTTTGCCTCTCTCTGTGAGGACAGAAATTGTAATTGTGGGCGATTAGTGCGGTTGTGCTTGAAATGGCAGCAATGAGCTGAGTACTTGTTTAGAGAGCTGAGATGATTCCAGGTGCATGCGTGATTATGTGCCTGATGATAATGATATTGGCGCACTGAGACTTTGCATGAGCAGACCATTATTATCAATATCTCTGATATGGTTACATATCTTGTAATTCACCTGTGTTATTGCAAAAAGGGTATAATTGTAATATGTGATCAAGTGACTTCCCTGGAGTTCTGCAAGTTCTATAATCCAAGTTATTTGCAAAATAGCCCTAAGATTTTTGGACATAATTGCAGTCTTAAGTTTTAACCAATAAATGCGTTTACATGTATAGTATATAATGAGAACAAGTGATTGACACAGTAAGCTACATGTACGCAGACTCGTAGAATATCTCAGTGATTTGATGACCATGAGAAGATTGTGAAATTTGCATAATACTATTCTAGCCACGATACATGTACGCATTTTTTTTTTACTTCTTTATCAAACTTAATTTCTGGCCCAGTTTTTTTACTTATTGGAGAGGGGTATATACAGTAGTCTTTAACACCTATGGCACAAATACAGATACTGTACAAAGAATTTTGTTGTATTAAGCAAATGATTAAAAAGAGTAAAACTATCACTGAGATTACCAAAAGTGGCAATTTCTTCCTTTTAATTTGGCCCGCTGCATGCATGTTTCAGCGACACTCACATGTACTGAATGTATACATCCTGTAAATTGGTCACTCTACTGTAGTGGTACCTGTTGAATTCAATACAGGATATTTTTCACAAGTACATGTGCATGTAGCTTACTTGGTTGGTGATTAGTGAAAATTGACCTTTTAATTATTTATAACAATTCTTGTTTTTTTTCAGAGGTGTTATTCAGAATCTTATGTGAAAATTAAAGGTCAGTTATTTGCTTTCTTTTCTGTTTACGGAATGGCTAGTCACTCGATAGAAACTTGACCTTTGTCATTGTCACTGCGCTTTAGCTCCATCTTCCCATCATTCCACTGTTAAGCAATCACCCACCTCCATGCTGACCAAAGAGATCCTTCATTTTCTTGAGCGATGTTCTTTTTATTTATCTCTATCACCTTGTGACCTTGCCACCTTTTTGTTTGTTTGTTTACTCGTTTGTTGTTGCAGTTACAGGCCATTGCTGATAATGATTTAGGCAGTATGGAAGTTGATTCAGCAGGTAATAACTACACTACCCCCAACAGCATCCCCATAACATACATTTCACACACTTTATACAAACTAACTCATCAGTCATATTCATTTTGACTTATTCTGTCACTTCACTCAAACTTTTGTATTATCACCAAAAGGCATCCAGAAGTTTTTGGAACTGGTAAATGTGTCTTGAGAGTATTGCCAACTCAGGAAAAAAAACCCAAGCAGGTTAATTTAACTCCAAGTTGTTGGGGAGTTATCTCTCATTTTTTTTTCATTTTGTGTTTCTCTAAATGATGAGCAGATCAAATGAATACCAAACCAAGTAAGTCAAAATGATTTTCAATTTAACCACTTAACCCAAAATTCTAATCTGGACGAAATTTATTTTGAAATAACAGCATGATTTGGATAGTTACTGACTGTCAAAGTTTAGTGGTGGTTTGATTTAGGGAGTATTTGATGAAGTTAAATGAAGTCTGAAGGAGGAGAAACCACTATAATTCCAATTTAAAAAACCAGGCTTCCTCTGGTAAGTTGCCAAGAGCTCCCAAACTCAAACCGTCTTTATACATCACATGCTACAGTTAATATATATATTTTTAAGTTCTTTAATAAATCCTTTCAAATGCCTTCAAAGCCATTTAGACTTTCTAAAAGGATTGAACCAAGTCATCCTCGGAGGAAAGATTTGTCAGACTAAATAAAGAAATTAAAGGTGACTCATGAATACACGTACATGTACATGGGAGGGCCTTCACTGGGAGTACATGTACATGTGTGACTGTGCTTGAGGTTCTTTCACCTCTTGGAGAGATGTTTAAATTGACAAGTAAGAGGTTCCCAAATGAGTTAATGCAGAATGGCTTATACGTACATGTATGTAATTACACTTTTTCAAGAGTACTTCCTTGAAATAGAATAATTACTATGGTTTTTAACTTTGTTCATGAAATTTGCTTTTATTTTCTGTTTAAACCTAAACCACATGTTCAACAATATAATATTGACCTTCAGAATTCATTTGATGGCTTCTATTTCATTCTTTTTATTTACAAACTCAGAATCAAACTTTCTCAAGTCAAGACTGACCCTCACAATGTTCCATCCATTGTTTAATATCAAAGTTTTAAGCAGTTAGCAACTGAAACGCTGTTACCCATCTGAATGGCCTTTTAGCGTCAAGGTGTACTGAGTTTGCTGGTTTCAGCAAGCATGACCTGATAGTGAGTGAATGCAAGTAACAGTGTTGATGCCCTCTGACTTCCCCTGCTCAATTAACCTGTTCATGCTGTGGATTCCCATGTACAAGTGATCCAGTCATGACATACTAATGTAATCTTACATGTTGGTGTTGATGTATTTAACATGTTGTTAGTGCTGCAGCTGAACCAGTGAACCGAACCAAAAATCATTGAACATGGCACTTTCGAACCGAACCAAACCAAACTGGTCGGTTCGGATGTTCAGCTTTAATATGTCATGGCACTGACAGTGCACAGAGTGCACGCAAGAAAACGTGATAAAAAAGAAAACACAATGAAAAATGGATAACGAATTGTGCTGCACGTGCACTGCTGCTGCACCGGTGCTTGGCACAGTCGTGTGTATGTATAACACACATGTACCAGTATTGTACATGTACATGTAAATATATGAACAGTAAACTTACGATGGCCCTGCCTCATGCGATGGTTGTAAAAACCATGTGGTGAGAATTCACTAATAATCAACCGATAACATACAACATACCGGCTGCACAACAATTCTAAATTCTCACTACATCCGATTGTGCGTATGTATATTCAAATCTAGCATTATGTTTGCCAATCTCCGATAGCCATGCCCTTACTTTCCATATTAGGTCAATGATGTCATAAATGGCAATTCAAACAAATTTTGATTGGATGCTGATCACAGTCTGACTTGTGCTCGATCAAAGGCAACTCCGGAAGGAAAAGTGATTTTTTCAGGTGGGTCATGCCGGTGCAGCGCTCCAGCGCCCGACAAGATTTGGTTCGCGTGGTGGCCCAACTTGCTTTTTTTTATCATGTTTGATCCATGTAATGGAATTTTGCCAGATGTCTAAGTTATTTGCAGATCTCAAATAACAAAATGCTGTTATCAGTTATGCTCCCATTTGAGCTAGCTGGTTTTTTTTTCTGTTTTCACATATCGTACGATCATTTGGTTGAGTCAAGCATGGTCCAAACATGACCGCTTTTGGTCAGCAAAATGCGGTCGGAAACTGTTATACCTCCAAGAGTAACTTTCTATGGCATTTTCACTCCTAAGCAAACTTTGGGGAAATAGTTTAGAAAACTTATGTTCACATCAAAGTTGCTCATGGATGGGGATGGAGAGGAGATTCATTACTTATATTAACATAATTTACACACGGAAGTACCATATACAACACGCTCATTGCATGCTCTTGGATGTCTCAATGTGCAACGTGTCCAAACCCGAACTGAACCGAAGTTCGGCAAAAACTATCCGAACCATGTCCTTAAAGTGACAGATTGATAAGTGACAAAAGTGCTGCATAGTGTGTAATTGAACAGGCTGTTTTGGAGAATATGAGGAAGCAAATTAAAAACACGACAAGAAAGGAAATATAACATTATAAAAACTAAAAAGGATAATTCCAAACAATGAAAAATCAGGTCAAATTTATAAGAGCCTGTGGACACTTGATATTGTTTATTTCCAGCCTAGAAGATGTTGATACAGGGCACACCTGTATGTGTTTACCTTGAATAAGTCTTTTGCGAGTTAGATTTGAACAAAATCTGTTACACTGAGTTCTTTAAATTTGAATTCTCCATACTAAACCACTGTTGCTGTACCTCCTGATTCGGGGCAAACTTCGCTTAATTAAATAAGAGACGCCTTGTAACGATACACTGTTCTTGATGGATAAGGAGGTACAAAGGAACCAGTCCATTCCAGAGATGGTGGTCGCTATGCAATGGCTTATTGGAGGGCTTGATCCAACAAGTGATAATTCTAACTTTGCAGGATGCCATGCTGGGGGTTTGAGTTGAAGCCCTTGTAATAGGAGGTTGGAGAGCCAACTCAGTGTCGTTTGAGCTGAGACTAAAATGACCTATCACTTGGCAATGCTTAGTCACTTTACAGAATAGGTTGGCCATATTACGGAGGGTGGTTGGACACATGGACCAGCTCATCATATTCCCTTGCTCTGTTTATTAAGGTTTATAACACACCTCCTCCTGGTTCTATATCCTGGTTGGCTGAAATACTGTCATGTGTGGTTCACTAATGTGGGCTAGTACATGAATTTAGCATCAGCGCGACTCGCTGACATTATATGCGTATGAATTCCACAGGCTAGTGCCTGGTCAGGTACTAGTCTTGAAAATTTTTGAATAGTTATTACGTCCTGTGGAGGTTGCTGTGGCTCATTTTAAATGGTGACATCTACAATCGATTTACATTACTCTTGTCAAAAAAAACTCTACTGACAGAAGAAGAAATGAACCAATTAGTTCTTGGGAAAGATTCACAGAAAACTAAAGATGTAATTAATTACTCTGTGAATATTATGAAGTCATACTATCAGACAATTGGTATAACAATTCACGATCTCGACAATCTGTTGTGAGAGGAACTGTCAAAACCCTTGAAAATGTTTGCCTTGTTGAGTATAGCAACTCAACATTAGACTGTGTCAAGGGACACTATGACGATGAACCTTTAATTTTCGGCAATTTTTGGAGTACTATTGAAAGTTGAATTAAAAGAGTTAAAACCCTGAAAGAATATTTTGCTAGTTTGAGGTGTGTTATAAAATGCATATGAACTGGCTATGAGGTCACTAGTGCATGTCTATGTCCACGAGGGACTGTGGTGACCAGAAGAGGGTCTATTTCCAAGGCTTCATAGGACCCTCTTCTGGTCACCACAGTCCCTCGGGGACATAGACCTGCTTAAGTGACCTCATTGCCAGTCCATGTGTGTAAGATAGATGTAGTGCCTGCAGATTTCCACTGTCTATCATGTCTGTTGGATTTTATTTACCCGATGCCATCCTCTCTGGTGATGGTCTTGACATTGTATGTAATGACTTGGAGCTGATATACACGTATATATAGGCTCACCAATTGCTGCCAGGAGGGTGAGGGGAACTTCAGGTGTGTATTTTGTAATTGACCTGTCAGGTGTGAGCTTTCTCATTAATTTAAGTGTCCTCGCAGGGATCAAGGGGTACCCAGTATGTGATATACCAAACCATACTTCTTGAGGTGTGACGTCTTGTCCAACAGATTGACCTTTGATGAGGATGAGTCTGACCACTCTCCTTGTCTTCAGCAGGGATTCTTGTTAGTGGTGGGACACTATCTTACAACCGGGCAGTACCACACCACTGTCTGACCATGCACTTAGGCTGAGGGCCCACCATGCTTATGGATATTAGACTGACTGTAGCTGAGTTGCCACTTTTGAAAGGTGAACTTTGTACACACAAATCCATGGGGAGAGAATTCAGGCCCTTCTGCCATTTACTCAAAATAGCATTCATTTTATGTATGAATCAGGGTGTAGGATCTTTCTTCAATTAGCAACAAATCATTCTTTTGCTCAGTAAATCAACTCCTGTAATAGTTTTCACTGTCCATCAGCATGGTCACTCTCCTTTTATTTGCAGGTACATGTAAGATGGATTTTTCTTTTTTCATATTCTTGATGGCGTTCAAATTCGTTCTGAGGATTTTTGTTGGGTAACTTGGCCTTGGCTCTCTTTCTGACAACTGCAGCTCAGTCACTTTGCGATGTTAGTATTTTTGATCCGTTGACATATCTTCTCTGTGCCCTCTGTCTAATTTTCCAAGTGTTTGTAGTGACCATGGATAGACACCAAATTGTAAGTCAACAATAACACAACAGTGTTTTATTGGGCAAACTTGTGCAGCAGTTTACTTGCTTATTTCTCGTCTCTCTGTCATGTGGGGAATCTTGTCTGCTTTGGTCCACTTGACACTGGATGGCAGTTAAGATTCTGAGGAATGATGTGCATCATAAGCACCTGATGTCATGGAACCAGTGTGTTTTCCAAAGTGCAAATTGATGTTTCCATACAACACAGTTGTCGTGGGCATCACACTCATCATGGGCATTGCTAGACCATTTTGAATGGGGGAGTGCCACATGAAATTTGCCGACAAACTGTCACGTAAAATGAGTGTACTGTAGTCTGATTCCCTAGTGTGATGCCTAGCTGTCAGTAGTTATGGAAGTTGGGCAATTGTGGGCATGAAATTCATCATCTGTCCATCACCTTGGGTTGGGTATGCTGGATTG